CTCCTTATTCTGCAGAAAAAAAGCAGGGAAGTGTTCAAACCTCACACAAACCCTGTACCTCTTACTCTGTTTAAAATCTGTAGCACAAGCCTGCTGGATCTGAAATTAACTTCCCCTCATCTTTTTTTTTTACTGTTTCAGCACCAGCAGCACAAGCTGCTGAGCTAGCAATACTCACAAATTTCAGTTTTTTACTATTAAAAGAAAAACAGCCAACATTATACATTGACATAATATATTTCACACTAAAGTTGTAGTTTTAAAATGAAAAACCTTTTCTCTAGAGCAGTTAAGAAGCGGCTATTAATGACTGCACGCACCAAATTTAAAACAATTACTTATTTTCAATCCTCCAATGAACTGGCTGCAGCCAAACCCCAACCATAAACATCAACAACTTAATTTGCAAAGTGCATAAACACCAGCCGCAGCTGAAACAAAGTGCTGAACATGAGAGATAGATAAGATAAAAGAAAACATTAAATGAATTTTAAAAATTCTACTGAACAAACAAAGCAGTAAAACTGATCAAAATAAAGTAAAATCTAGTCTCATTTGGGTTAAAGGCAAATGAGTAAAATATTTTTAGACGAGTTTTAAAACTGGACAGTGAAAGGGCCTGTCAAATTTATAAGCGTTCTTTAACTTAGGGGTCTCGATATCGAAGGTCTTCATCCCTCAAAGCTTCCACTGGGAATGACCAGAAGCAGCTGGTCAGCAGAGCCAAGTGACCAGGTGAGAAGCTGTATTAAATAAGGCGGAGCGAGGCTGTTTAAGACCTTAAAAACAAATTGTAGGATTTTCTTTTATGTGTTCCTGCCAAAACCGCGCAGCAGCTGCAAACAAGTTTAACATTAGATTTAAACAAGTTGCAGATCATCTTTTCTACACGTCAGCAGACAAGCAGACATGTCCACTATCCCATTAGTTACATGTGGGAATAACAGACACGGTTTCCTGCTGTAATGCGGATTTCCGACCACTGCAGTCTCTTACCCTGAGGAAGAAAGGAAACTTCCTCCCATAGAAGCCCATCTTAAAGAACTCCGGCTCGATCCTCTGCTGTTCGATGATGTTGTCATAATACGCTGCCTCCATTTTCTGTGACACAAAGACAAACAAGCAGCGGAGCCATGATGAATAATAATTTAATCACACACTTTGCTGAATCCTCTGCTCTTCCAGAGGCGCGTGGGCGTGCTCAGGTAATTGGGACGTTGTGTTTGCACTTCACACCCCACAACCGAGCATCACGGTGACAGAGGGAGCTGAAAATCTTTCCTTACAGCATCACAGAGGATGCTTGTTTGATGGCAGCAGCAGCAGCAGCAGCAGCAGAAACGCGTAGCGTGAGGCACTTTACTTACCCGTATCCAGCTGAGACTCTGATAATCATATAAAGTCTCATACTGGAAAGCCAGCTCCCGGCAGAGAGAGATCCCATATTCCCAGCACTGTGGAGATATAAAAGAGATAATGGAAGAATGAGAAATGAATCTAAAATAAAAAATAAAAAATAAAAATAAAAAAACACCATTAAAATGATCAATGTTGTCATTATATTTGTCTGTTGCGTGTAAGGATTGAGGAAGATGGTTTTGATCAAACAGAAGCTTTTACTTGAGAAAAATTTCTGGATACTCCACCCACTGTTAGCAGCTTGATTGAATGAAGAACAAACATGTTTTAACTGGCAATGTAAGAAGCATCTTTGTTCATGGCAAAAGAGGGAAGTAATTAGATTTTATATTCTAAAATTGTAAATTGACACTGCGCTACCCTCCATTGGGGTTGGCTGTGGATGGTGTAGTTTCACAAAAATGCTAGAACCAATGATACGTTGGAGTTTTAACTCTTTGCTCTCCTTAATTTCATCAAAAAGCAGTTTCTGAGTTGTACCAAGGGAAAGCAGCAAGGTTAATTTCCAAATCTTTACATTCCTTCTGGTACCAACTTGCTGGGTGCTTTTTAACCAACACATTGAGCTATTTTTATCCAGTAAAAAATTTTAACACTCACTGCTTGAGGAGTCTCTATAATTTTTTTTCCCCTTCATATATAGCAATAACTGCAGGAGAAGGCAATAAGTTAATGAAAGATGACAGTTTTATTTCTTTTCAGCTGCTACCTGGGTCCACTGGGCATTTTCCTCTGCAGAGCATACGGGCCGGTCAACTAATTTAATTTTGCGGATGAACACCGGCCAGGGAGGAGAGGTTTGGGAAAGAAAATTACATTTCAACTGATTGCTCTTCCTCAGTATGAAGCACTGGATTAGTGCAAAAACTTTTATGTGAGTCATTTACATAGCTCCCTACAACATATACAAATACATCAGAAATTAGCTCCATATCGACCTGTTCAAACATTAAAATCAAGCATTAAATAGTTGTTTATATGATTAGATATTTGTAAGTGTCATACTAAGAAACTGGACTTACTTTAAAAGATACTTAAACTTGTGTGAACAATGCAATTCTGCAGCATATAATCCACTAAGAAATGTTGTTTTCGTAACATGTAAGCCTTTGGCAAATGATCAAGGAGGAAAAATGAAAAAGTTAATGATCAGCTGCACGTTCATGATGAAAATGTAACAGCCCTTCAACAACAGAGACAAAGAATCTTAAACAGAAACAGTACCAGCAACAAGGGTTCTCAAGTCCAGTCCTTGAGACCTACCAGCCTGCCTCCCTCCTCCAAAAACACCAGAGTCAGATATCTGAATTCCCTCACCAGCAGTAATTCAGCTCTGCAGAGTTTCTGCTAACAAGTAGTTCATTTGATTCAGGTGCTGGAGAAGTGGGATGATAGCACTCAAGGATTGGACTTTGGCACCCCTGAGTTTCAACCTTCTCCTTTCTATTTAACCACACAAATCTATTGATTTGTGTTTGTGTTTCAAACCAAATACAAATCATGTTTGGTTTGAAAAAAAATATCAAATTTACGTCACCGCAATTTTTTCCCTTTCCTCACAGTAAGAGACAGTAAAATGACTCAGACTGGAGAGCAATTAAATCATTAAGAAATGTAAGATATAAAAGACACAGCTGCAGAAAACAGAACAAAACAAAAGTCACTCGCCTTTCCCTTGTTGAAGTAGTGAAGGATTTTACGACTCAGGTTTTCTTTGCGTTGCCACTCGCTCTGACAGGGGTAGTGGAGAAAATCCCTCAGAGGCCGGTCCTCCCACTGCAGCAGCTCCCAGTACAGCAGCAGAGTGAACGCTGCCTCTGTTAACGAATAACAAGTGAACAAATGCATAACTATGTTTGATACAGCAAAGTAACATGAAGAGACGATGTTTTTTTTAGAGTAAAGAAAAGCAGAAATTTATAATCAGCATTTTTTTTTCAGCAACAGATGGTGTACGACCTGAAACACAGTCAGTGGCAAAAATACACAAGATGGCCTGAGCAACATGACTGTATGCTGGCAAGACAGAAAGTAGAGGTGGAAAGAACATTAAGGATGTTTAAATATTTCATTTCCAGGATCAGAAAGTTGTTAAAATTACAATATGTTTCAAAACACACAACAAAATCAGACTTTTTTTTTATTTTTATGGACATTTAAATTTCCATTAGCACACAAGATCTCAATAACCACTTCTTCCAAGACTAGAGATTTTCTGTAGCGTTCCAAAGGTCCAATGCCACCCAAGCTTTAGCTTCCTCACAGGAAATTTATATCCTCATTTAATATTTTACCATTTATTTATTTTTATGTACCTTTATGTGTAATGTAGCAGTGCATCGCATGCACATTACCTATGTCTTAAAAGCTTCTTTTTGCTTCTATGAACACCTGACATGAAGAAACCAGTACATGAAAACCAGAAAGATTCAATGATAATATGCAAACTTTAGCCTGAGAAGCTTAGAAATGAACCAAGAACATTCAAACAAAGCAAAGCAACAGCAAAAACAACTGTACCACTGTACATCTGCACAGACAGATATCGGTTAACATTCCTCTACGCACACACTAAGGGCTTGAAAGATGAAACCAGACATAATTTGGTGCCTCTAAAAATAAACATTTGCCCCCTTTACTTGTAGGAAATATCTGAATGAACCAATCAAGGCACACAATTGAAGCTTTCCCTTCTGTCGCCCGGGTGGGAGGAGGTCTGTTCAGCTGTTTCAACACAACAGAACTGCTTGTGCTTAAATTAGAACCAAAGGTCTATTTTTAATCTGAGAACGTGCCTATTCTGTAGATCCGCATTTCATGGGAAGAAAAAAAAAAAAAAGTCCACCAACGTTTTTATTCTGGCGAATTACGTGACTAAATGCCGTCTGTTTGAAAGAGTTTACATTCAAAATGTTTTGTGTTCAAATTAACACCAAGCTGATGAAGAGCCCTCATGTTGTTTTAAAAGTTCAGAGTGACAGACTGTGGTTTGCCTTTGTCATTGGTTCAATGCATAAAATACGCAGTCATAAAAAATATAACATACTATAAATATTCCAGTGCTGTTGTGTTGCAAGCCTTGAATGTGTTTTGTTAGCCACCCTTCGTGACCCACACTGTTCACTTAAGGGAATAGCTCCCATCCCCCACCATTGTGTCTCTTACTGTTCACCATGTGGCTTACTTCTGGCTGTGTTTGTGCCCCGGATCCCTTGATGTGTGTTTCAAGCAGTGACACGGAAAACGAAAATCAGGCCCAGTCATGAGGAAAACTTGCATGAGTGTCATTTAGTGTGTTGACACATCAAGTAAGGCACTCTGGAACAGCTTTAGAGTCGCAAGGTAAAAGCACACGCCATTAGAGTGCAGCTCAGAAGTGCAGATTGCAGCAAAATATCAAGTCAGCAGAGCCACAACTAACGCATGCAAAAGAGAGAGGAGGAAGAGCAACATCCATGGTAGACATGGAGCAATCAGAATTTTGTGGTTGGTTCTGGTAAGAATCGACCTGCCAACATGAATTTCAGCTGATTAAAGATAACAGGACTCACAACGTCTTTCTTAGCCTTTCTTATCCGGTGAGCAGTCACGGGTTTTTATATCAGAGCAAATAGGATGTCATGCCACTTGTGTCGTGCCAGGTTTAGTTTTTCTTTTTTTTAATCAATGAAAACTATTCTATAGTTCAAAATAAATCAAAATAACAAAACTTGTAACAGTTAATCAATGTTTGTGCTCTAAATGTTACAGCAGATTTAAAAAAAATAGCAAAATATTGGTTGCTACACTGATATATGCAAAATGTCTAATTTACTAGTACTTTAATGGCACCCTGTGCAACTCTCAAGGACAAATTTATTTAATTGTAGTAGAGAAGAAATAACACTGTTTACATCTAATTACTATTCTTTACATATAAATGTGCTAATTTCCGGAAATAAATAGGAAAATATTACAACATTCATTATGTCACCATAATAACTGTATTTCACAAAATAAGCATCAATAAATTCAAGGTCATAATGTTATATTTGCCAACAAGCATGTATAGTGTTGATAATATTTGAGCTGTGTAATGGATCGACGTGTCTTTAATGACTCATATGGAAGCAGCTACAGTTTGTGAGTAGCACTCTTTAATGCCACGTCCTCAGCCTGTTGCATATAAGCTGCAAAGTTCCCCTGATTTTCTGCTTACAGGACTGAAAGGGGGGATTATAAAATACAAACTGCACAGTAAATCTTTTTCTAAGAAGTAATAATAAATAATAAATCCAAGAATGAAAGAGTAAATGCCAGAAGCACATAATTATCTACCTGACATTTAGGCCATGAATTTAATCAAGGGAGTCTCTGTACTCTTGTTTGATTTTTTAAGGTTGGAAGTCTCCTATCTATTAACATGTTCATCTGCGTGGGAGCAAATAATAAAATGGGGGTTTGAAACCAGGTTTTATAATTTGATGCCCCATCTTCCTTTTGCATGAAGAGAGAGAGAGAGAGGAAAAACAGAGACAGAGAGAGAGAGAAGACAAAGAAAGAAGAAAAAAAAAGAAAGACATCTATTCGATATCCAAGTTCAAGTGAAAAAAAGTTACACCTGCATAGAATGTTTTTATTTTACTTTATTTTGCTTTTGTTTTTGGCTTTGTTATTAAATGCCAAAGGTCAAAATTAGAATTGTGCATTTTATAATTATCTATTAATATTCATTTATTTCTCTCTCAGTTTGATACAACAGTTCAATTACAAAAAGGATTTTGTTTCCCATCGGCAAGTTAATGTTTTTCCAACACTCTTATTTGTAAATGGCCACACTTGTAAGGTGCCGTTATCAATAGGATTAGCACCACTGATTCAGTAGCACTGATCACGTTTCTCCAGTGCAAATGTCATACTTTGAATGCCACAATTTGAAACTTGACTGACACACTTAGTTATTACTCCCTTTCCCTTTGTGTGCAATAGGAACGCTGAATCTATTGTGCTCTTGATATCAACAGACACAATATTTTTAGGGTCAATAAAGCAGAGCTCGCCTTCAATCAAAATGAAATTACGTAGTTGTACCATAAAAAATCAGCTGCTAAAAGGTTCTACAGCAGCTAGTATCAAAGTGAGCGTTGAGTCGTACCAAACTATGTGACAAAAACGTACTTGCAGTCTGAAGGTTACCTGTGAAATCCTCTGCCTGAAGATGCAGGTCACTTAGTTTGTGGATGTAGCGGATGTACATGTCCTCCTTGTTCACCTCTGATTTGTAGAAGTTCTGATGTTGCAGTAGAACAAGAAATAAAAAGCAGGTCACTTTTCCCCTTTTACGAAATGATCACATAAGATCGAAAGTGTAATGAATGTCTCACCATAAGGTTGACTGAACCGCTGATCTTCTTGTTCTCCATCTCGTCCCCTTTCATGCAGTCCCTGGAAGTGCAAGTTCCCTTTTTAAAGCCCTGAAAACAACATCATTATAGCACGTAACTTTACTTTAGCATACCTGTAATCAAGTATTCTCTCAACAAGTCTTGTGACTGATGTCACAAATGAGATGCCAGTTTCCCTCCATGTCTCCTGCTCAATCTTCTCCAGCAAGCTGGAGGAAAACACACATTGACCACAGATATTAAGTACAGGAAGCAAATGCCAGCATCGTTCAGCTTTTGGAAGTGCAAAAGTTATTCTTCACCTTGGATAAGGACCAAACAGCTGTGTTCTGTTGTGATAAAAGAAACAAAAAACAACAGGGAAAAAAATTAAAAATCTTAAAGAAACAGAATATTTCCTTCATAGTCTCACTGAGCATTTGTTTGAAACTCACAACAAGCTGAAGAGCTCTCTGTGGTTGTCATCGCCTTTCCCATCCGACACCATGCTGTCCAGCTTATCCATCAGCTCTGCCTCCACCTGGAGTTACGAACGTCCAGGAACAGGTGCGTTGTGTGACAAAGAGCTACGTAAGGACAGGGCACACACTCTGGATTTCACAACAAATCAATTTTATACTAACTTGTTTGAAATTCCCATTTTTCCTTTGCTCCCAGTCCATCATATCATGAAAAATTGGGATCATAATATTCCGGACCTCGGTCTGAGGAACTAAGGTGACACCAAGGAAGGGTCCCATCATTCCTGGGATGAAGTGTGGCTTGTTGTCACCTAGTTGAAATGGATTGATACAGACAGAGGTGTTTGTTGAACAACTCTGCTAAACATATAAAGAATACAAACACAATGGTGTTTTAAGCCACACTGAATTTCTTTAAACTGTTCTTATGAGGCCTCAAGACTTTGTAAAATGATACCGATCCTTAGATCTTTAAGGGGTTTTGAAAATCCCTTAAAATGTTATAATTTCTCTGTGACTGTAACAGAATGCAGTGCAACATGGGTAAGCTTAATTAAATATGTAAATAGGTGGAGAACAAAAGCACAAAATAAGAAAAGAAGAAACGTCAAGCCTAAGATATAGGGAGATAAATACTGCTGTGAAGCAATGTGGAAGCTCCTAAAGAATTGGTCTTAAATGGTGCTTTTGTCAAAGACCGCTGCAAACAAAATGCCTAAAGATGCTGCTTAAAGTTTCTCTTCATATTAATATTTCTATGTGTTGACAGGAAACAGCTTCATTCTTTAACTGCATTAGCCTTTTGTAACCGCTGAGTGACTCCTATTTCTGCATGAAGTAGTGAAAAATACAATAAAACATAAAGAATTGTTGCTCCACATTTGTGACTAAGCCTGACTTTGGAAGCAAAATATTAAAAATAAATCATAATACATTTGCAATGTACTACACATACCTCACTTAAATTATTATTGATGAAGTGAGCGACGGTTGACCCACCTAATTTCTGCCACATGCTGAAGAGCTCATATGCCATTATTACTCTCAAATCCCCATGCCTACAAAAGGAGATTTAGAAGTGAGTAATAAGATACATTGTTTGAAATCTGATAAAAATAACAATAATAATAATAATAATAATGCACATGCTTATTTTTTAGAATTTGAGAGAGGCTTTTACTTGTCCAGGGTTTTCTTTCTCTTGGCAGGAGGGAGTGCTTCCAGCTGCAGACTGGGCTGGTTGATGTAGAGGACAGTGAGGCTGAAAAAGGAGTTCCACACCTAAAATACAAAGAGAAATCCACATAATTAGCAAGTAATACCATTTAAATGATTACATAAAAAGCATAAAATATCTAGTGGTTTTATGGAGTTATGGGTTTTCATCGTTTGCAAATGCACAGACACACCTTGAAATCAAAATCTCCCTCGGAGAAGTTTTTGTGCAGCGCCGGAGACAGAAACTGAGTCGTCACTACGATGACGCTGCAGAAATACGACAAAGTGTAAAGTAAAAACAAGCCGGCTGCCAAAAGGCGAATTTAAACACTTGCAACACAAGCATCACCTTCGGATGAGTCTCTGGATTAGAGAGCTGGCTTTGTTCACTCACCATCTGCGGGATAAAAACCGTACAACAGAAGCAAAGAAGCAATACTTACTGGCTGGTTAGGAGACGCATGACGCTCCAGTCTCTGGGGAAGATAGTCAGCTTCATCAGGTTTCGAAAAACACAGAAAATCTTCAACAGAAACTCCTGCGGGAAAAGAGGCAACAAAAATCTGCTCAGTCCAAGTGTGCAGCCAACAGACGGCAGTACAAACTTTCCCTGATGTCAGCTCAGGTCTGAAACTGAGAGAACTGAGCAAAGACGTTATCAGACTTTTAGACTCTCTCGCCTTTAGTTCCTCCTTGCTATGGAAACTGTTGAGAAGGTGGTGGAAGTGGATCTCTGTCATCTGTCTGAGGAGAGAAAGGAGGCAGGAAACGTACTCCCCCTGCAGAGAGAGAGAGAACAAGTACGAAAACACATAAATAAACCTGCTCAAAATAATGACTAAAGTTTGCGGAGTTTTGTTATCATCCTTCAAAGGGGCAGATTGAGTGAAGGCTTACCGTTATCTCCGCGGTGCACTGGGGACAGCGTTGTCCTCTGGATGTCTCCACAGAATGAGATTTGCTCATGATGGACAGCAGAGTCTGCAACAGCACATCCAGAAGGCTCTCCACCATCATTTCCACTTCTTCTTGAACAGAGGACTCCTGAGAAGACAGTCAAATTAAAAGAGGATGAGGAAAACTTTAAACCACCATGAAGTATGTGATTGATAAAGTATGGCGCCTAGGCTACATTCACACAGCGGGTCTTCTGATGGGCAATCAGACTAGTAATTTATTACTACTGCAGTCACACTTCTGTGTGAACAGTTTATGACCCCAAAGCAACCCGCATTCTCAAAAGTAATAATGGATCGATTAATTTGATCCATCTGTGAATCGATTTAAAAGTTGTTGAGCAACGGGAGCCAACGTTGCTCAACGTTGAGCCAACGTTGAGCTCAACGTTGTTTTTCCTTCTTCATAAAAAGAAGGAAAAAGCTGAGAAAAAATTAAAGTATAACTACTAGCAATGGCCTTTCGTGGAGCACTGATGTCAACTTCTGTAGACTAGTCTATTTGGAAATGCAGTCAGATGACGTAAAGGTCAGATAAATGCAACATGATCGTTCTGACTGCAGATGCTTTGAAAACTATGTATGCATGTACTACGTATTCAATTTAGTACCACAAATGGAAGTAAAAGATCGAAAGAAGGACAGAAGGAAGGGTAGCAGTAGGATGAAAAATAGCGTATGGAAATAAAAAAGGGTTTCTGATCTCTATTTTAATGTGTCATAATTATTTGGACCTGGAAAACCTTTAAATAAAGTTCAATAGTTCTCTGTACTTACACACACTGGAATACTAAGCTTAGTAGAACTAAGTAACCCTGTAATTATGGACTTGGTAAAGTGTACTGCACCATGGAGCTGGTCTTGATTATTGAAAAGATGCTGCTCAGGATCCCAGAACAAATGAGCAGCTCCCTCTGCTGGCGCAGATGTAGATGGATGTGATGCAGGACGACTGGCAGCAGAATACTCCGGGACTCTGAGGCAACAAGCAGTGGGGGAAAGCAAGCAGAGAGCGATGAGGCGAAAAGCAAGATTATTGTGAGGTAAAAAACAAAAAAAAAAGATCCTAAATCCTTCATGTTTGTCTCACCAGGAAAGAAGAAGAGTCGGCTTTCAACTGTACGAGCAATCGACTGAAGTTTGACCACGTCCATGGACTGACCAATGTCCACTGTGCTGGGCATGCTCCCTAGTGTGCCCCTGACATATTCAGCTACCTCCTGAACGGTGAACATCTGCAGCAGCTCATCGAAGATGTCTGGAAAACTGTTCAACAGTGCAGCCTATGGGGGCAGAGGGCGACACTAAGAAATCATTTACAGCACACACATATGAAAAAGTGTCTGCATGAACACCCTAACAATGACACTTAACATTTAAAAAGATATAAAATATACAGCAACATTATAATACTTAAAATAAGTAGAACAAGCAGATTGCTACTGATTCTACATGACTTTTCTTCAATAAAAGCCAAAACTATAGTTTATCTATATTGTTTAAAACAAAACCAGTTTCTGAAAAAAAAAAAAACATCCTGTTGGAGAGGGCTGATGGCTTCACATCAACTGCTGCATTGTGGATCCAACACATGGGGGCGCTGTAACTTACTGAAAAGGAGGAGAGTCAGGAATTATGACCGCAGAAAAGCGTGCAGCTGGTCACGCCTCTAAAGTGTCCAGGATCAAGCCATGGACAGAGCAACAGTGACAATAAGGCACTGAAGCCTCAGTTAAAATAATATCTAAAATAAAAATTACACCAACACTAATACGACAAAACACAAATGAACAAAAATCATTCTATAACAACAGCATAACCAAAGGAAATATATAACAAAATGACAACTGGTAAAAGAGGAAAAGGACTTTTTGTGAAATTAGAATATCACTGAAAAGATCATTTATGGTAGAGAAGGAAAAAAATAATAATTTTATACACATAAAGTGATCAACTTTAAGTGCTGATTAGGGTTTACAGCTAATAAAAAAACAACTAAAGTTTACTAGAATATCAATAGAAAGCATTTAAACAGAAATGTCATGTTATGGTCGACATGATTATGGAGAAGTGTGCTTCCTTCACAGTCTTTGAGATTCTTCACAAGGAGGCTAAGCAACAACATGCCATTGATAATATGTTGCCTTTTTACTAAATCTTGTTGGAAAATTGACTAGAAGGAAAAAGTATGACACAATTGTCACCATCCTCATGTCAAACCACTCCTGAACTAGAGACAAAGTCAGAGACATTGTACCTGAGCTAAGAAGAAAAAGGACTACACTAATGCTCAGAGATCCAAAGTCAAGTTTTCAGATGAGGATCACAGTCAAGAGGAATATGATAGACCAATTAATCTGGACAATTTGGATGCTACTATAAATAAAACAACCCTCACAGGAATATGTTTCTATTTGCGATACTCAACGATAAATCAGCCGGAAACATGAAATGCAAACACTTGAAATGTACCACCGTGCTTGTAATAGCATTGTCACCTCCGAAGCGGTTACACATTTGTACCGTGTGTATTTTGAACCCCAAACAGTGAAAACGTTTGACAGGATGTGTCTAACCTGTGTGAAGACAAGATTCTCTGAGCTGCGGCTGTCCAGACTCAGGACAAAGCGGATTGACTGGAAAAGCTCCTGGATGCTGGCCCTGAACTGCTCCTCCTCCATCCCACAGGTGGCCCTCGAGTACAGGATGCGAGACTGGACTATGAACTTGAACAGGTACTCCAGTGCCTGTGGTGAATTAAGTGCAGGATACGGACGGAGACAAACAATCAGATAACCCACCGTACATGTCATCTCATACTTTTAGATCCCTGGCAGAGGAAGCAGGCCTGACCACCAAATCAGTTTAAGGTTAAAAATCAATATATGAAAGAAATGATTGCAATCGGGCAGCGCGGTGAAATATCTTTTACCATTATCTTGTCACAAAGGCCACATGAAAAGGCCGCACTCTTCCCATCAATACCCGCAGAGCTTCACAATGACTTCCTTTCAAATAAATTGTGCAGGGAATTTACTCCCCGAGTTCCTCCTGTGGTGTTGCATTACTTCTTATCAGCTCCGTTTCTGTTTGACCATTTCCTCTTTCGGAGCTAATTAATCCCCACTGAAGGAGCCTGATCGGAAGAAGGAGGAAGCGAGTGTGATACTTTACCCTCATCGCTTCCTGTATGTGGTCCTGCCGGACTACCTCAGCCGAGCGGTCCATGTACCACTTCAGGCATCGAATCAACTCTCTGCAGACAAATTAGCTGGAGTTAAGAAACTTCACAGACATCATAAATGAAAAAAAAAAAAAAAAAAGTTTTAAACAAGCTGCAGATTGAGAGAAGAATAGGGTCAGATTTGCTTTACTTGTACGCCAAAGCGCCGGCAAAGTGGTTTTGGATGTAGGAGTCTATTACTGGTCTGAAGTGGTAGAACCGGCTGTCCCTGAGCAGGTTAATGATGAACACCTGAGCACACAGATATACACGTTACATCCCATCTCCTCTGCAGAAAAGTCACAAGACATGATTTAAAGTGTGAGCGCAGCTGCGTTCTTTGGATGCCCCTACCAGAGACTGGAAAACGAGCGGTCCGTATTTGTCCGTGTTGTCATCTAAAAGACAGAAAAGTGTATCCAGGACATCTCTCAGGAACTGCGATGGGGGAAAAAGTAATAATGTCAAAACAACTGTGGCATGATCTAAAACAGAATCAAAAGAACCTAAAAAAAATTATAGCCCCTTCGGTTTAAAATGTAACACGTTTTCATTTATTCTGAAATTATAATATGACCTAACAGCAGTCTTAAATGCATTTCCATGTATTCAGAATATGAAAGATGTAGAAAACACTTTTTTTAATCCCATCAGTGTCCGTGAGTTTCCGATCAGTAATCATTGAATGTTGATGTCAACTTTCTCATAGCCATTCGTCGTACTGACCCTGTGTGACCCTGTGCTTTTACAAGATTTTTTTTGGTGTGGTTTTGGAAATTGACGGTCTGACGGGACAAGCCCCTCCCCCCTCACCCACTTCCCCGCTGTCTGACCGTGACGTTTTCCGCTCTCTTCCTGAGTGTCACGCTAAGGCTGCTGGAGGGTTAAACGACTTGGTTACATAAAAGATGTGGTCGACTCTACTTGAAAACTGGAAATGGGTCTTCATTGTGTCTTTCTGATGGATTACGATCTAAATCATATGGCCACTTCAGATCACAAATGGTTCACCGGGCACAAAATTAACCTTCTTCAATAGGCTTCGCAGCCCCCAGATATAAATCTCATAGAAAACCTGAGCAGAGCTGAAGAGAAAAAGAGTATGAGAGAAAATCTCTGCATAATCGATTGAGAGATTGTGCAAAGAAAAAAGGTGAACGATTACTTTCTTGGGAAATGTTAAAGATTAGTCTAAGTGCTCTTCTATCGACAAAAGGAGATTTCAAAACATATAAATAGCAAGAATGTCAATAATTCTATGTACTGCATTTTATTTCATGTAAAATTCCCCACTGTACTCAAAGGTTCAATTATTCTTTTTATTTTTCAGTTTCAGATTGTTTGACAGTAAAACAGATAAACGTGTTTCTCGAGGTTGTAACATTTTTTACCAGGAATGCCAGTGATGGCGAGAATCGCTGCATAAAATTAAGAAAGAAGGTAAATAATCCATTCATTCCTCATCGTCTCAGAAATAATGGTGTGATGACCTTCACAATCTCCTCTCCGCTGATCTGTCGCAGTCGACCGAGGATGTCCAACACCCTGTCCGGATGGGCCTTCCAGTTCAGGAGGGCCAGGAGGTCCACTAAAAATTAAAGTAAACCAACATTTGCCGAGTTGAATCAAGTATGAAATATGGAGGACTGGTGTGTTAGCTGGTAAATTACCGTTCTGAGTGAGTTTTGTGGAGCAGAGGATGGTGGAGACCCAGAATGTTTCTTTAGGGCTCCTCTGGAAAGGCAGGTTGGCTGGCAGGTTGGGGCAGCTGTTGAAGTCCTCCTTGCAGCAGGGGAGGCTCAGGTACAGCCCCTGGTTGCTGAATGTGGCATTTTCATCACACTAATGAAGGACGGACATGGGAAAGGACTGCTCAAGTTTGGAAAAACATTTCACAGCAAAACGACCTTTATAGGAACTTCATGAATGTTTTGGTTTATTGATGTGTTTCATAGTTGCTTGTAGGGCAAATTCAGCATATTAGTAGTGTGTCACTGAAAAACTAAGACAATTAATTATTAATTTGAAATGTGACACTGAAATACATTTTAAACATAAATTGAATAAAGAATACATTTTTTAAGAAGCAATAGATATTCATCTAAAATCCTAATATATGCACACATTGAAAGAGTGCAGAGAATACTTACACTCAACAGACCAAGAGCCTGTACTTTATCTATTATTAATTCAGAAATAGAAGCAACAATTCACTTTCATTTATATAAACAAAAATAAAAATAAGCAGGTAATTGTTCGTGACGTCTTTAGTTCTAGCAGTTATTAAGTAACAGGTTCTCTGGTTTTGGCCATAAACTCAATGAACCTGTTTTGTGAGTCGCATGTGAGTTCAAAACCATTTAGTTTATTCAATGAACCAGATCATTTCTGCAGAAAACTGGTGGGACACCACAGACTAACTGCAGAAAAAGGTAATAACCCTCGCAATGCACACATTTTCAAGTAAGTGCACCGTTTAAATATTTATCATCTAGGATTCCAAAAAAAAACAAACACAACAAACTGGAATTATTTGGTATCTAAAACGTAGATGTTAATCACTTGAATACTCTTATAGTGTTAGTAATTACACAGCAACTACTATAGATATACAATTATTTATTTTATGGCTTCAGCGTGTTTCTGAACCACTTCTTAGAGCTACAATACATGCTAGCATGTTAGCACCTGCCCGTCTTTCTAAGCATTCTTTGGAGAACAAAGTGTCCAGAGTTGAGAGAGATCAGACTGCACAAGGTAAGACAGATAACACAAGAAAATGACAGACAACAGCCCTGGGCCAAGCTTGTTGTGAGATATTTTTGGATCAGTCATACATGGCTGTTGAGTTCATAGAGGGAAGAGCAGAAAGGATCTGAAGTCGATTTTTTTTTTTTTAAAGTTCATATTTTCCATTGCAAAGCGTGATTTAAAAAAAAGTATAAGATGTGAAGACGATACAAGTTAATTCAAGCTAAATATACATCCAATGTGAGTGTTATGGCATCGCCGTACCTTGTACACATACAGCTCATGGACCTCGTCTGAGAGTGTGGTCCCATCCTCTCTCATCAGAGGAGTGAAGGCAAAACCAAACAACTTTTTCTCTCCTTTGTCTTTAGCTGAAAAGAAGAACATGATATCATGCCTCATGCACATGTTTGGATAGCGCCGATTTTGCTTTTTCTTTTCCCCAGAGGGTTTGATTGTGACAGAGCTACAGTTGTGACTCACTTGAACAGTGTCTGAACTCAAAGCGAAGGTGGGACCCCCTGAAACGGTCGATAGGGATGGGCAGCTTGACCATCTCGCTCCAGCGAGGGCTGTTGTTGTGGTAAAGAACGAACGAGCGATACTCCGAGGTGCTCGGCTCGCCGGTGCCCAAACTGATGCAGTCCTGCAGAGGGAAAAGAAGCATGGGAAGAAGGTCAGGCTCGCTCTTACTCACATACTGATGATATGGGACATGAGAAGTGATGCACGTGTGTGTCATACTTTGAGCGTGTCCCCGTCAGCGTAGAGAACATACAGGGTGACTTCAATGTTCTTCTGGACACTCTTGCCACCCCTCTCAAACTCCCCTCGTTCCAGGGTCAGATACAGGTCATTGCGTGTATCACCTGAGGCAATTAAAAGTTTGGAGATGCTTTGTTTAAAGGCAACTGCACTAATTTTACACATTCATCCCATAATATTGAGCCTCTTATAGCTCCAGAGGGAGCTACAACTGATGTTCTTTTTTTTTTTTTTTTTGTAATTAAATGTAATTAGATGTAATTAAAAAGTAAACTGGATTAAAGCTACATAAGGGAAGTAGAACCTCTCCCAAAAAAGTAGACCGTGAAAATGTCTCCTTCATCTGCTCCACACGTGAACTCCGCGTGGTCAACATGAATAAATAATCTTCGTGAATCACATTCTGCGCCACTGTTCTTTTTAATTCAAGATGACCCTGCTGAGTTGAAGCACGCGCGGCCTCATGACTGCCTCAGCACCTTTTTGTAAGATCAGTGTTTATTGAGACAAACATCAGAGGCAACACTGGTGAAAGATATTGCTGTTATTTATAAAATCTGATTATTGTTATTTATATCAAGGCCATTTCCTTTGGGACAGATGACTCACAAGGAGAGATATTGGGGAGGCATTTCAAGTGAAGCAGAGAGAAGCAGGAGTGGAAAGGAGAGGAACGAATTATAGATGGTCAGTACAAACAAAGAACCACATCGTGAACGAATGCTGTACTCCGAGATAAACTCAAGCCTCACTGTCTTTGAGCTTGAGGACTGGTGCCCTTTGTGCCTCTTTACAGATTTTCTTTGTCTATTTATTGGTCACACATGTTTTGGATGACCGAAATAATTTCATAACCTGAGTAAATCTGCAACGTAGTTGAAAACATCAGTGTTAGTTTACCCATGTTACCTCATCAATTAACTGTGATAAACCACATTTATTTAAGCTAGCTCCAGTTTCACAAGCCACACTCAGGCATGACTATTCACCTAAACAGAACCTGTCTGACAACATGAAGTAGGCTAAAATATCTAAAAACAACAGCACATCATGCCCCAGTCTAAAGAACGTCAAGAAAAGATGACAATGTCATGAATAACTATCAGTCTGGAAAGGATCACAAAGCTATGAAGGCTGTAAGATACAAAAGGCTATTATTCTAAGAGAAATCATAGAAAAGAGGAGAGCCTTCCCAGGAGTGTTTGACCTACCAACATTAGTGCATTGACAACTGATCCAGGATATCAGAAAAGAACCGAGAACATCTGAAGCACTGGAGGCTGCAGCTGCTCCAGTTATTTAAGGTCAGTGTTCGTGACTCAACAACAAGGAGGAGACTGTACAAAAATGGTCTCCATAAGAGAGGTTAAAACCTTGACTTTGTCTCTGTCTAATATTTACCAAAAAAATATTGTGATGACCTTTTAAGACTTTGGAAATACCATTATGTCGACGGACAAAACAAGGAAAGTGTAACATTTTAAAAATGTTGCATCTGGCACAGCACTTCAGAAAAAGAACATCACTGAAGGAAGCTGATAGAGTGAGAGAGATGATACAGTATGGGAGACAGCAAGAAAAAGAGCCCACAATATCATATCTACAGTCTAACATAGTGGTGGTTGTATGGTGGTCTGGGCCTGATGAAAGATTTATTGTAAAGACCTGAAGGCAGTCGTTACACCAACCAATCTTTGGGTTTAGGGATCAAATACTTTTTCACAGCTCTGTAAATAAGCTTAGCAGCTGAGCTATAGCTTTTAATCTCATGCATTGTTGGAAAAAAATCTCCATAAATCTAAACCAAACAACACAAGTTACTGTTTCCAATTATACGTTCCTCTCTGCAGATCTCTGTTTCCTGCTGTTTTCCCCAATTCTGTCTTACATCTCTCCTGCTCTATCCACTTCGACATTCAAGTGCTTCCTGTTTACCAGCATCTGTGACCTTCCCCTCCTTCCTTTCCTCTGAGCCATCTGGCCTTTGGGCTCCCCCTCCTGTCTGCACCCCCTACCCCCTGCTGCTCTTTGCCTCTTTACCTGGCAAGATGACATCTGGGAAACCCAGTTTGCGTGTGAGCGCCAACGCCCTGTTGAACACAGCCTGGTTCTCCCGTCTGATCTGCTCCAGCTCACCTCGCAGCAGCTGCAGGGAAATGATGAGGCCTGCAGAAAGTGGCAGCGGGGGGTTTTAGTGGCCACATGTGGATGTGGGAGGGTGAATGGGAGGGTTGAGGAAAGAGGACAAATAAAGATAAGAAAGTAAAAAAATTGAGGAAGATAAAACAAGAACAGAAAAGAAGAAAGAGGTGGGATTTTTAAAGGACAACAGTCAGGATGTTGTCAGGATAGAGAAGAAATGGCCATAGAGATGCGATCAGAGCCCGAACAAAGAGAGGGGAAAATGTTAAGTTATTATCAATTGTTGCCATATTCTTAGAAAGAATTTAAATATAAATATTAATTAATATTTGAAATCATTGAATATTTGCAACTGATCCCAGATAGTCTTCACGGCGCACACATGGCAACGACTTGTCAAAGAGAAGGAAACCAAATCTTTAATTACCACTTTCACTCTAAATGGGAAAATTAATTACACCTATAAAGAAAATTTACAAATGGTAATGTAAAGAATAAACATAGGCACAACTATTTGTAATATCAAGCTGGTTTGTGATTTAAAGGTATGCCAATGCAGCAGATGTGCTCTGACTTCTTTTTGCTACCAGTATTATAACCCCCTGCTGGTAATTAGAAAAAGCACAGGGTCAACAAACTCTTTCACTGGCTTCAAAAAGCTCAACTGTGTCCATCTACAGCATAAACTCTATGATTTTATGTTTTTAAATGTTGATACTTGGTTGTTAATCAACTATCTGCTATGTCAGCAAATATCCAAACTAGTTGGACAGCTGTTTTTCTAAGTAACTACTGCAGTAGTAGTTGTCAGGGTGGTTGTAATAAAATAAAAGGTTTACAGTTTCCCAAATGTACAGATTCAGTTTGTTCTCTATAAATACATTTAAATCAATATTAATCTCTTCTGTATTTTTACAGTGTGATAATCTCAGACTAAACCTATCGGTGGAAAAATGTGCACAGTACATAACTGACGAGTCAAGAAATGTTTCCTAACAATAACCTAGAAGGTTTGTGATCAGAAAACACATTTACCATAATTGGTGCTGGGAGCTGAGTACTTGGTGTTGGACTTGCGGATGATGTTCTCGTGGACCTGGTACCACTCATTTTCGTTGTTGCAGCTGGGGAGAAAGAGAGTCGGACAGGGCTGTTTACAGCTCACCCGCTTCTAAATCCAGATGGAGGTTTTAGGACTGTGTGCATGGGGACCACATGAACAGCATGCGTCCCAGAGCAGACTTCCTCCTGGAGAAAAGGTAGCAGCAGGGGGAGTTGCTATCAAGCAGCACATTAGCCCAAATGCACAGCTCACTAAGCAAACCTGACAGCCAGCTCTCTACCAGCCTTTTTCATTACTGAGGGCCCAAAGGCCCCTGGGAAAGGCACGAGGAAATGCACAGACTGGAGCCTTATAGGAGCCGACAGTTTGGAGGCAGCAGCACTGAATCACTGCTTACTTTTTTAAAAGGAGGAGCTCTTCACGTTGCCAGAGAAATCCAATAAAGACATAAGCTCTCTGTTCAAGAAATCTTTCTTTCACGCGGTGCCGTGGTGTTGTCCTAATGCAACTAAATGGAATAAGTGCGTGAATGACCTCTGACCCACAGAGGAGGCAACAAGGTGACATTTAAGCTGTTGACTGATGAGAAAATATGCTGAGCTTGGTGTTATGTTGCTTTGTCCTCTAACTTTGCTCAATTATCTTTCTGTCATCCCGCTCCATCTCTTTGCCTCTTCCTCTCCATCTCCCTCCTCCACTTTCTTGGCCGGTGGAAAGGAACAGCTATCTGTGGCGAAGCCTAACAGCAGAAGCCAGATTCACAACATGCCAGGTGCCCTATATCCAACCCAGGGCGAGGAGCTATTGATTTTCCAAAGGACACTTCATTATCATTCCGGTCAAAACACACCAGCACCAACACTGAAGAAACAGGCTTTCACACACGTACAAAACAAAATCCACACTTATGCATTAATTACTGCAGAGAGTTTATAACTTTTATTTCCGAAAGGACACACAGCCAAACTGCAAAGTGAGCCAAGCAAACTTGAGAGGAACAACATTTTCATCAGGGATATCAAAAAAAAAAAAAAAAAGCAGACAAGTAACTTCAGCTGCATACTCACGTGTAAACTTTGAGTACAAAGTCCTTCTCCTCTTTGAGGTCTGTAATGGTGTGGAAAACATCGCTCATGGCAAGCACGGCACATCCATAAGGTCGTCTATACTGGACGTGTGGGGGGCCTTTCTTTGAGTCATTCAGCAGCATACGACCTGGAAACAAAACAAGGAGACAGTGCCTGAGAGGAATACAACAAGATCTTAATCCTCCAGAAAGTGAGTTTGTTCTTTGTATTTACCAGTTCTTATTACATGTGCAACAATGTACAGGTCTCTCTTCAAGTCTTTACTGCTTAGGTCCTATGGAAGAAAAAATAATATAATATATTGGATTATTAGAATAAGAAATGGTAAAATATTCCTCACATTTTATCACATTACAAAATCAAACTTCAATACATTTTATGAGACTAATGCAGAAGCCGGCCAAATGTTGACAGGGCAGAATCCTCAACATAATTTGATTTGGAGGACCCACCTGCAAATATTATCTATAGATTTAACAAGTAGGCCAACAATGAATTCCCTATATAGCCTGTTTAGCGATGTGTTTCGACGGTAAAAGTTGAAAATGTATTGTAAGGATTGGGTTATTTCCCATTTACTCATTTAATGTTGTAGTCATACCCAGTGAACGATGTTTTCAACATGCTGTACAAGTTAACGTTAATTTAAAGTCAAAATTTGCTCATTCTTGCTAACTTTAGCTCAAAGTTCTGAGATACATATTGTCTAAAAAATTGAGAGCTCTGAGGCCCTCTACTGGTCTGGAGGCCCTAAATACACAGGTTCACTTATCTCCTCAGCCACCTTTTGAATGTAAAAAAAATATATATATATATGGCGTGTAAATATATCATGACAAAATACAATCATTTTCAAGGTCTGGGAACATTTTCACAAGGCATCAAATGTCAAAATAGAAAGTTTCTCACCGTAAAGAGTGCACAAAGGCGATCAACTTTCTCTGGATTCTTTGGTCCTCCATTTTTATTCAGTTTCACCATGAACTTCTCACTGCAAGAGAAGCCAATTCACAGTTTCAGAGAGTCTGTCAGCCACAAAGTGCCTAAGTCAATCTGCTGGACTGAGACAGCATGTGTGTCTAACTGTGTCTGTCAGCTTATGCACACATACAGTATGTACTGTGGGGCCAATGGAGGCTGCTCTATTAGCATTGGCATTGGTATGTGTACCTGATTTGTTTGGCTTCACGAGAGTCATATAGAGAGAAGAAGACGTCTGCGTCTTCACTGATGCTGTTGTAGGTGAAGCTCTTCAGATTGATGAAGAGGTGGTGTGACACAGGGATGCGACAACCATCGCCATGACGCTGCCTCATGCTGTCACCCTGGTAATTAAGAGGAAAGTGACCGCTAACAAGTCAAGTTTATGCCAAAGACAGTCAAACATTTGTCCTTTTTATATGATGAAATAAATAAATACATGTGTATTTTCTTTTCTGCCATACTGTACAGTGAGTTTTGCCCAAATTAGCCATTTAATTAAGCAGCTACTCATGGAAACATGATACGCTCTGATTAAGGACTTCTTTGAGCAGCAATGCACCAATCAGTCAGAAAGTTTTCCCTTGAGCAGCTATTCCTGATGGAACAATCAGTCTCTTTTTACTGCTAAATAAATGCATAAGAACGTAAAAATTCAACCTCATATGGTTTGTACATGCATCATCAAACTCCTTGTTCTTTGGTTCGCTTTGATTTGAGATCAGTAAAAACCATTTGAAGGTTAGAAAAACATGCTTTGATGAATAAGTGGTGATAACCAGGCAGTTTCTTTTTTTCATTTTACAAGTTAGTTTGTACTTCTTAAAGAACACAAAACAACAGAATATGGAAATATGAACATTTTGTGCAATAATAAGCCCTGCTCTGTTTTTGAAGAATGCATTGCTTTTGTTAAGCTAACTGTTTTTGTTAAGTTTTTACGCATTGAGATTCATACATACAGTATGAAATTACATACTGTATGTAATGACATCATAATCTTTCCATTTTCCAGACTGGAAAGATATAGACATGAAGATTTAAAGTCCTACACACATGATTGCCTCCAAGTGCAAATCAGAAAATAGGTCAGAGTTCATCAAATTGAGCTGCTCTGAGCTTTTGACATCCTGGGGTGAGTTCTTGCATCGATTCTGTACTGGCACATTATGTGTGATGTATGTCATGTAACATAGCTGTGATACTTGCACCACAGGGTTTTTAAAAAATCCCCAAAAAAGCTGTGGTACCTTGACTTTGCTGGGGTTCAAATTGTATTTGCTGCAGTGTAAAATATGTAAGAAGGTGATGCTTCCTATTCAAGCACAAGAAAGAAAATCAAATGGACAAAAATCAGAATTTACTGGTCAGACCTAAAAGAAAATTGGAAATTATTTCCGGTAAGCACTTATTGGTGCAACTTTAACTTTAGGGATGCTGTCTGATTATAAAGAAAGAACTATATATATATATATATTTATCAAGAAACGGCTTATTCTTTGGGGCATTTTAATTAGCATTTTGCAAAATGCTAATGAACTAAAGAACCTGGAGCATCTAATTTTACTTTTTATCATCAGTGTTTGTTACATTTAATAATTAAAATTAAACATCTTTTTCCATGTATACATAACTTTAAAAGAAAATTTAAACCTATTAAAGTTGAAAATTGATGGACAAGGCTGACTGGTGCATCTCCAGTTTTGTTTTCTGTATTACTTTGATTTTTACAAACGACAACAATCATAAACGATAAAGCTTTCTTAATTTTACTTTCGTTTCACAGTATAAGGTAGATTTAAGAAAAAACACCTAACAGCTTAAAATATTGCACCACGTTTGACTTGCATACACAAAACATGTAGCAAAAACAGAAAACTGAGATCACAAAGCTGCATATTGCCACAGAATGCTCACACACCAGAAAAATTTAGTGGACAAAGTATTCTCAGTTGGGGGCATGAACTGGGGCATATGTGATCCCAGTGGGAATCAATGCCCCTCACCCTTTGGTCTGAGTAACTCAGAGGCCACCAGTAACATGCTGCAGGAAAACCAAAACTGAAGTCTAGAAGTGATATGGATATTCTTTTGTTACATATTCTTTCGGAAAACAGATTTAAAATGGGAGTTGAGAAGAGATGAAGAGGATAAAAAGTGTGACAATTTGATAAATAAAGAGCGTTAAAAACAACTGTACCTGGTTTGTGCTTTGCTGACCACAGTGTCTGCTGGATACATGCTAAAAAAAAGTACATTTCAAAGGAAAGAAGTGTTAGATCCCTCTATTCAGTTTTTACACATCCCACACAGCCCTGAACTTATTTACATTACAGCAGCCTCAGAAGCACTATAAGGGCCTGATGATGCCTCTCTCGATTCTTCAAATCTGACAAGATTTCACCTACGTATGCTGCACAACGGCTACACTAGTGTTCCTGCAGAGCAAAGAGAAGCCCACACGAGGCGAAACGTGAGCATGTGGGCAGGGGAATAGGACAAAGCCGGCATCGCCCCCACACATACACTCACAGGCGAAGCGCTCTCTGCTCGGCAGCCTGAGAGAACACCCATATCCGAAGAGGTGCCAAGGCCTTGTGCCCTGCCAAAGACAAGCTCACTTTCATCACCAGAGTCAGGAGGCTTTCTGGCAACGAGCAGCTACACTGTTGTTTCTGCACAGAGCATTTAGTGCACAAACATTCTGCGTGTAAAGCTGAGAAACATGGCAATGGGATAATGGGAGGCTGCAGGGCAGTTGGACAATGTTTTCACCAGCATATGGAGCTGCAGCTACTGACCAGAAAGGATCTCCCTCCTAGATAACAGTCTCTAGCAGAATTACATTAGATTTCATAACATCTGTGCTGTAATGTTTCTAAAATTGGATCTGCTTCAGTAAGTCTTCTCTCTCTCTCTCCCTGTTTGTGTATAGGTTTGGAAGTCCCACATCACTACAACCAAACTACATTGGAGCCATTTATTTATAGAAGCATGTCTCTCAAGTGGCTTTTGGCTTGGAAAATATGTAATTTATGTTTAAAAATGTTTATGTGTGGGCTTTCCTATAGCTCCACTTGGGGCTGTCACTTTGCATTATGTTTGCATTCACAGCAAACCATCAAACTTGCGAGAATCACATGCATGCAATAAAGGCACAAGCTGACAGAACATGAGATGGCTCCGAAGGCAAAATCGTGCTTTCTCACTCACTGTTTTTTTTTTGTTTTGTTTTGTTTTTGAGTCATCTTCTTATGGATGGTTTGATAATCAGTACATTCACACATCCCTAGACATCCAACAACACTTTCCTGTCTGAAAATCCCAGTGGTGCAATAGCACAAAGGTACACTGTAGGTACAAGAGCTCATAGTGTGCTAGTCACTTAGTCATTGCTATAAATACACTTAATGCAAGCTGCAGGGACACTTTATCACCATTTCACAGTCCAAGAAGCGGACATGTATTTGAAACATGTGAAAGATGAGCAGTAATTTTTTTTTACCAGTTTGTATAACTCCGACACGCTGATCTGATCCGGATCCACCATTTCAAACTCTTTTCTGGGAACGAGGTCGAGGCCGAGGTGCCTGATAGAAAATAATCAATGGGAATAAAACAAAGAGAGAGACAGAGAGAGAGAGAGAGAGAAAGCACATTACAGGTGTTAGACATGTTCACTGATCGGGCATGACATTGTGACCACCAGGCTAATTGTGTGTTAGTCCCTCTTTTACAGTAAAAGCTAGACTAACATCCAAGAAGTGTGCTGTAGTGTCTGGTGAAGTGAACAACTTAAGACTTCATGGAAATAAACCTGGAACAGTATGTAAATTTAATGGTGCATTAACATTCATATACAGTCTACGTTTATACAGCATAATGAATTTCCTAAAGTAGGCAAGATCCTGTAGCTTCAAAGGCTTAAATAATATCTATGTAGACATTACCCTTTTTTAACCATAAAATCAGATCAGAACTAGTCTCTGATCCCTGCTCATTGCATACTTTAGCGATGCTACAAGCAAAGTATGACACATCACAGACTCTGTGACTTTTTCTGCTCTTTCAGGCACTTCAGTTGGACAAAAGAGTGTATTAATGTACAATCTTATTCAAACTAATGCTCCTGAGCTGAATCCCTCATATCTTTTTTTTTTTTCTCTCTTACAGATCCCTGAGAAAGCTCAGCTGGAGTTTGAAGAAGATGACTGTAAAGTTCCTGCAGGCGGATTTGCATTGACTATAAGCAGCTTCAGAGTCACTGATCTTCTAAATGACCATGAAATTCCATCAGTGAGGTGCCGCCGCACGCCCACATCCTGCGCTGTACATCACCCTGCTGCCAAAATATAAAAACTGATTCTTCTGGAGCCATCAATTAGGAACAAATGTTTACAGTCGAGGATGCCGTCAATTTGCCACACTCACTTGATTAAACACAGTTGTCAAATTATTACTCACTCGTTTCCCCAGTCCAGCCGTACGGTGATGTGCCTCTTGATCTCACGAGTCTGGTCCTGAGCGAGGTGGCCCTGGATGAGCTGCCGACGCAGGTCGATGAGCTCGTTCATCACATGGCGCAGTTTATGAAACAGATCCACCTTGTGTTTCTATTAAAGAAGCCGAAGACGGCTCGGTTAAGACATAAACAGGTTAACTAAGCTAAAGAATGGTAGCAGGAAACTATAATTATGTAACAGCAGCAGGATCACTATATAATATAAATTTACCCAAAGAAGTTTTTACTTTTTGGCCACTCTTAAATGGTTTCGACCAGAAGTGCCAAATTAATTTTGTTTTTGGGCCATGTCAAGATCACGAATGTCCTCAAAGGACAGAATGTATTGTTAAAAGCAAATTGTTAAAATATTAATAGACTACTCTGCATCTGATGAGTACATTTTAAAATTGAACATCTTTTAATATTGATGTAATTTGGATAGTATTTAAGCACTAAACTATAATCTTGAAATTTCTATTTATGTGGCTCTCTTGAGACTAAAGGCCACAGAAAAACTTATGGCGGGCTGGATGTGGACCCCGAACCTTGATTTTGAAATATGTGCTCTAGACCGTCAAACAATGCGTTAGACCAAGATAACCTGCGCAAATGGCATCCTTTTCACGTCGCTTTGGAAGAACGTAGCCCACAGTCATTTGCTAAATTGTTTGAGTCACATCAGATAGTTTTTCAGCAATTGGGAAGGCATGCTAGAAATAAATTACCTTTTGTCAAAATATCACAAACTGCAGCCTGTTGAGTTTGCTGAAAGTGGGATTTATACTGTAATCATATGTTTTGTTCAGATGAGACAGATATTTTGCAGCAGCAAACATTTAATGCTGCTGAATATTAATTCACATGTGCAAACCGACACCAAAAGTACTCAACAAACACAAAATCAAACTTCTGTCAAGTATTTAAAGTTTTTTTGTTCCATAGGGTGCCATATTTAAAGACACTGTATATCCATAGTTAGGTCTCTGTTGTTTAGCTTATAGGTGATAGCTTCTAAGTAGATGGGAAGAGTCCTGGTTTGCATGTATGAAAGAAGCTGATACTGGCAACATGTCTGCATCTAAGTAGGTCTGTGTCCACAATCAAGACAATAAAGCCTCGTTTAAGATGCTCTGATCCACTCCTCTGCCAGCATATGTAAGTCCTATAAGTCGTATAACTGTGTTTTGAGCCCACAGGTTTTGTTAATGAACTAATTAAGCAGAACAAACTTCCCTTACATGTCTGCTCTGACCTCAACATAATTTCATCATCATTTCTCATAAACCAAGGACAACACTTTTAATTTCTCTATGTTCTGTTTTCCCTAATGGTACGTCAAGCCACATTAGCACCCAGGTTTGTTTACATAAATGCAAAGATTAAGTGCTCCACAATGGCCATGTAAGTTTAATGAGGATAAACACTGCATGTTCTCATAGGCTGCTGGCTGGTGAAAACAAAGAAAATTGTCAGGGTTGATGAGTCCTTTGGGGCCTCGCTTCTGTAGGGCTAATTACGCACATTGTAAGAAATACACAGTTATGCTTAGGTCATTGCTCCCTGAAGTAACACCATCAAACCTAATAGGCAACAGTGAGGTGAAACCTACAAACATCTACCCAGTGCAACATCCTATTATTATGGATAGCAACACGGCCCATTCCACTCAGGGGGTGGGCACAAAACGAGCACAGTTAAATCAAGGCTTCACATTAGTCAAGCTTCAGTGGAAGTTACATCATCACACCAATGCCTCCGGCTGCTTAGCTGCTCAGAGCATGAGCAGTCCTCAGTGAAAGGTTATGTAAAAACTCAGAGCCAGCTCTGCAACGTAGCCACTCAGCTCCAATCTCTAAACCCCACCAACCACGTCTGCCTGCCCCCTCGACACTTAGTGGGATTAAAGATGCTTTGGTTTCCCAGTAATCACTTTTTCCCCCAAACAAGTAAAGCCTGACTAGAGTCAGTGGATCTTAAGAGGATGCAGTAGCTGCATGAAGCAGCCCAGGATCAATCAATGCCGGAAAGACGCACCATGAAATAGGACACGGCGGCCTTTATCTGCCCAAACACGAGCTCTAGTCCCATGTTGTAAATATAGATACATAGTTTTCAAATATTTATTGTAAAGAAAGTTCAGCCCATTGGTCAGATCAATATGCTGTGAGACAGAAACTTAAGGGACTTCCACTGTAATATTTTATGTAAATACCTAGTTCTGCAGTTTAGGTAAAGCAAAACGCCTCCATCAGAACCCCCTATCCTGCCTAGAAATGCAAATTACACAACAATTTATGCAGTTTCCTTGCCCTTGATGTTTTAGCTCCCTTGGATATCTGAGTAGAGTTAAAACCGTACTCGCTGTTATTGTTTTATGTGCTTTCTTTTGCAAAATGTGCTGTAACACATAGCTACTGACCACATAGAGCTGCTTCCACAGAATGCCCCATTCCTGCAGCGTTGAGGTGGTCTCTGTGATGATGGGATCCTCCAGAGGCACCACTGTCTCACACAGCCTGGGGTGAAAATGGAGAAGAAGAAAAAAAAATGTTTAAATTACACATTGCTTTTCACATGTTGCGTGTTATGACTCCAAGTGTTCCAATAACATAGACATAAATGGTAATAATTGGTGAAGAAATAGGGCTGCACAGTGGAGCAGCTGGTAGAAATGTTGCTTTGCAGCAAGAATGTCCTGGGTTCAAATCCCCGGGGACCGAGACCCTGGGATCTTTCTGCATGGAGTTTGCATGTTCTCCCCAAGTAGATTTTCTCCAAGGATTTCGGCTGCCTCCCACAGTCTAAAACCATGAATGTTTTAGACTGTGAATTGCCCTTTGGTGTGTGTGTGCGTGTGTGTCGAGATACAGTAACCTCCAAGTTATAGTCCATAAGCTTCTCCACTGTTGCCACAGTACAAACTTCAGTACGTTTGTTTATGTGGGAAACACTCTAAAGTACAACCTTATGAAGTGATAACAATACAGGGCGGATTCTCAGCTCTAAGGTATATAGCTCGCTCTACACTTAACTGAATTGCGAACCTCAAACAACATCAACAAACATCTCTGGTACAGGAAAGAAATGAGCTGATGACAGATTTTCTACCTGCAGCGTCCAAACATGACATAAAATGCAACTTAGAGGAAAAGAGATTTTCCTCACAGCTATCTGTGCTACATTCAGGTACTTCTGAGACAATTTGACTTAAAGATGTGTTATTGTAATAAATGGGCACAATCTTGCTTAAACATTTTTTTTTTAATCAACACTGATTACTCTCCAGTGGTTACATTGTTGTATAAGCTATCTACCGAAGCACTGCTAATGCCTCGTAGGGTTTGACCAACTGCCATATTAATCTGCCATATTAAAATGTTTACCTTCCTTAAGGACAATTATGCTAAACATACAGCCAGAGCTACAGTCCAGTCATTAAGCTAAAACATGGAGTGATGTCAAAAGGTGACATCACATTTTCACACCATTTCAAATGTACCTAAAAGACAACATAAGTACACAAAATGCAGTTCCTAAATGAAGGTGTTTATTGTTAAAAGAGAAAAAAATCTAAACTTGACCCTGCATAAATTGCCGATTTACGTGATTTACGTCTCAACCTCCAAATTTATGGTATAATTTCTAACATATGCACACACAGTGATCATGAAATTGTGGAATTCACCATTGCCTGAAATGTTAACTCTGGTCTCAAGAAAACTAAAACAGGCTTTTCTGTGTAACCTATCAACCAATGAAACCCAGTATTCCAACACAAATGCTGCAAAACATTATTATATCTCTAGACAGAAATATGAATTAGTCTGGTTATAGACAGAATATTTAACAATGCGCTAAATTAAAAAAAAAAAAAACAGATATTCCTTCCGTGTTTCCACATTCATTATGTGGTCGCTCAGAATGTTATACTGACCACAGCAAACATTTAGCATTGTTCGTCCATAGCTTGCATCTTTCACTTTTCTGATACGTTTATGTGACAAAAAGGAGGCCTCTCCAAATGTTTGATTCATTTATTTTCTAGAAAGTATGAGTAATTTGGTAACAGGAAACACATCAGTAAAGGTCAGATCTCTTGTGGTGCTTTGCACTTTGCTCGCAAAGCTCTTGAGTGTGCTGCAGAGAATTAAATGTAGCACTGCATAAAGTTTATAGTACCAGGCGAGCATCTCCATCTGTAACACAGTGTGGGTGGCTGATTGTCTTTGGCAGGGATGCTTTGGGAAAACTACGCAGATGCAGTAGGTGTGTCACCTCATTAACTTCATTAAACAGTGAAGCAAATTTCCCAAAGAGCAGATTTCCCAAAGAACTGCTCCCGCAGCGAGGAAGTATAATAATGTGTATCTGAAAGTCTGCACTTTTACTTGTTTGAGTGAGAAGTCTTCCTTTCTTGCAGCACAATTAGAGGACAAAGTTACAGTGCCTTGTAAAGTGTTCTTACCCCTTGAACAAAGCGTGTGGATACTCCTTCAAGGTGACGTGAAACTTCTACAAAATCAAATGTCCCAGAGAACAGCCAGCCTCAGATTGTTGAGTGATGTCAAATTAAGTCAAAGAGTGAAAAGGCCTGCTAATTTTTGTTCCTGTTCGTACTCTGATCAGTGCAACTGTGGCCAAATAATTTATGCCCATAGTGATGTCAACATCAATGAGCTGACACTGGTGGAACTGCAAGCTGCTGTTCTGTTCAACTGGAATCGATTGTATGTGTGACAATTGATTCCAATTGACAATGGTGCTATTCAAATAAAATGAACTGCATTTGGTCTCTGAAGTGTTAAATGACTAAAATTATCTGCAAACCAGTGACTTTCCTCATAATGATACTCAAGAATAGATAACAAAGTGGATTACTAATCTCAGTTTGACATACAACACATTATATTTACTTTTTGCTTAACTCTGATTGGTGGAACCCATAAAATGCCCCATGTGTCTTTAGAAGCAAAACAAACCGGAAACATGATCCATCCACACTCACTATCAGAAGCTGGTCCGGTTCTTCTTGATGTTGGAGTTCAATTTTCATCCTCTGTCCAAAACTGCACTTTTGTGCTTTTCAGATTAATATTTTGAGACATATTTTATTGTGTAGATTTAGTCACATGATACATTGAGAATCTGAAAACCTGGAAGTCTGACCTTTCTTTTTTTTGGTTAGCAGGAAAAAGCTCGATAACTTTTAACAAGCAGTTTTGACCAGAAAGGGAAAACAAAACAAAAACCAAGAGGATTGTCGTTTGCATGCCCTCTTCTAAAGATTTATATGAATGAAGCGACTTACCCTCTATTTGTCACTGTAGATTTCTTTAAGTGGACATAGCTGACAGGAAAAATACCCTGTGAATGGATAAAAGAGCAGAGCTGTTATAAAGTGACAGGCCTACATTAATGCCCCTGCTTTATAAAACCAAAATAGTCATTTATTATGTTAGAGTCGCAGCTTAATGTGCTTTGTGCTGCACTGGTAAAAAGAAATAATAATGGATTTTTTTTTTTTTTTTCATTTTAGCTAATGACCCAAAACATACACGAAGAGTTCAGATTTCCAGCTCTTTCTTTTCTTTTTTTCATATTTTGACATTTTCTCTTGCCTGTTTACATTTTCTGCACAAAAGGAAACAACATGAAAAGCTCAAACTGCTTTTACAAATCGCAGAAACAGGAGGCACAGCGGCCTGCAGGATTCCTATTGTGGTTCAGCTTAGCAGGGGAAAGGCCTCAGAGATTGAGTGTTCCCAGCTGCAGACGCTGAAGTTCATGCCTTTATTTTTTTGTATTCTAATCTGCCAGATGTGAAGAATTGGCCAAAGCGAGAACAAAAAGAAAAAGGAGGAAAAATTCTCTCAGCACAGTGAAACTGCACAGGCGAATGGATGTGGGCAGACTACATAACAAAATGGAGGGGTGTTGGTGAGAACTGTAAATAGCTGATGGGAGTAAAGAAGGACAGCATGTGGCTGCTAACACCTACATTTACCAGGACCTGACAGTTTTTATGCTGTCTTTAAAACAGTCCAGCACATAATAGAACAGCTCAGCCTCTAATACTTTAGACTCAAACCAAGTATGTACAGACAGAAAAAAATGTATACAGCCCTTCGATGGATTAAAAAAAAAAAACTCTGCTATTTGGGTTTCACATTAAACTCTTTATCAATATCTTCATATTGAACATTAAAGTACCAAACTGCTCTGCCTCTGTCAAACTATTATATACACAATGAGAGAACTACAAGAATTGAATGTGGGCTCCTTTGTCTTCAAACATTATTTTTGCTTGATCAAAGACATGACAATGCAAGAGGTATTGTTACATCTGGATTGCAACAGTCACTAAGGAAAAGATGCTCATTCTTGTTCTTTTTTTTCCCTCCCCTATCAAACCAATTCTGTGGTACAATTTCAAGTTTCAGAGGTAAGTATTTCCCCCCCACGACAGCTCATGTTAGCACCAGAAAAATATGGTACTGGGAATATTATTCTTCCTAAAGTAAGCTTTTTTTTTTTTTTCTCTTAATCTACCCCAATATGAAAAAGAAATTTGCTATTTGCATTGAAATATAACATCAAAGGCTGGTGATTAAAATTATGGTTTTGTAAATGCAACTTTTGAAGTGTGGTTTAGGAAACTTCTATTTTTGTCAAATGAAAGCTACGTTCTTTTCACTGTAAAAAAAAAAAAATTCTCTCCAATTTTCAGTAAAATACAGTTGTGGTTGCTAGAATTTTACCGCATAAATATGACAAAATTTTACCATATTCGTACAGTAAAATTCTGGCAACCACAGCTGCGGGAAATGAAGAGACATTTTTTTACAGTGTAATTTATCTGGTCACAAGGTCTCTGTGGCAAAGACAGATTTATTTCTGTGCTTCAAGTCCCTACATCACAGTGTCACAGAAGGAAAATACATTCTACTAAGTAAAGTGAGGATTATTAATATTTTTATGATACAAAGTCTCCGACATTTACTTGCAACCCCCTTGAAAGTGCAGAAAAAACTATTTCTAAATAAATGATCTTTTATTGCAGAACTATAATGTCTGCATTTTTTTAGAAAATTCGACACTTGAGCTCAAATTTTATGTAGCAGACAAGAAAAACAAAACCCTACTTTAAGAAATAGATGCTTTCCACAAAATCATTGGTCCAACGACTATTGCTGCTGCTGACAATCTAAACACAATAAGTGTAACTGAGCAATATTTCCATCAATCCAATCATTATCTTCCACTTAATCTGGGATCGTGTCATAGGAGCAGCAGCCTAAGCAGAGAAACCGAGCTTTTATAATTAGAAGTGATTAAACATTTCATTATTATTTGCAAAATCTAGTTGAAATTGAAATTTAAAACAGATTGCAGTTTAACTACCTTGATGGATGGCTTCTTGGTGGAAAAGCCTCTGTACCAACCTAGAGAAAAGGGAGAAGCAGGACAAACATGAAGCAAGATTGTTGAGAGGAAAATGAAACTGAAAATATTCTTCCCATTTTTTTTTTTTTTTTTTTTTACAGTGAAAGAAAAAGTTTATTTCTTGGAAGATAAAGGTCATATTATTGTACTTTTTTCTGCAAGCGGCTAAGTTTTCTTAAAGCATAGACGGAACAGACAGATCTCTAACATATGCTAGTTTCATCTGTTAGCAAAGCTTCATTAAATGTAATAGCTTTCTGGATGCTTCTTGCAGTTTCACACTTAAATCTGCCGTATCTAAAACACAGCCATTATCAGCGTGCATGTCTTCATATTCTAGTTGTGTAGCATTTCAGCAGCATTAAGTGGGACTATTAATGTTTTGACTTCTGTTCTTTGTTTTTGAGCTATTTAGTTGATGTGTTGCCATTGCCGGATGGCTCGCAGTTGTTGGGTAGAAAGTAGTGTCAGTCTCTTCTTTTAAATCCCACAAAATGTTTTTGGTCGTGAATTTGTTCTTCACCGTGGGAGAAAATGGATGTGAGAAGTGACAGAGTGTAAAAAGTGTGAAATGTGTGAGACTTGACAGCCCTGGTTTTTTAAGCCTGCTCCATTAGTTCTTTTTAATACTGCAACATTTGTCTGCTTTGAGTTGTGCCATCAAATGTAGTTTTATTTTTTCTTCCAGACTGACAAAGAGAACTTGACTCAAGGTTCCACATGTCTTCCAAGGCATTTTTTTACTTGACCCATATATTGTAATTTACAAGAACTTTGCACTATTATTTACACACATAAAAATAATTCGACCACAGTAGTAAGTTGGAGTTTGCAGTTTTGTGTGGAATTAAACAGATGCATGAAACAGCTGCAACTTGTTGTGTTTATAACTAACGGAAATAAGGTGGTCAAGTTTTGGAAACTTATTCCCTTAGCTCATACGCTTAACATTTATATAATTTCTTTAATCCAAATGAGGCTGGAACATAAGGTGTATTAATGAAACATTGGGTCAAAAGCTGTGACTCAGTTTGCTGGGCTAGAGGAGAAATTAAAAGGAGTTTCATTCGACTTCTCAGGTGGTCATCCTGAACGATGACCACCAACAAGCTGGTGAAACTTTAGTGGATCTTTTCCACAGAAAGCTGCGTAACGTTAATGTGAGTCAGTTGTGTGAATGACTTTAGATGACAATAGAGAATGTGTTTGTTCATTAGCATTAGCATTGTACCTACTGTAAGCACAACACAGTGCTAGTATGTCAAACATTTACTTTGACCAAAATATTGATGTAACGTCAATATAAACCGACTATTTTTATTGTCTTTATATTTCTTTGCAATTTTCTTTGAGAATGTTTTTGTTGTTTTTCTTCGAGCTGGGTCAAACCCATAACCCGACTCTGCTGTGTTGAGCTGTGCTGGTCCGTGTCTGACCGAGGAATGACTTAATTAAACAAGGTTTTAAGGGTTTGATATGCATGAATCTGAGTGGCCACTATGTGGGCCAGCATGTCTTTTGTCCTGTTCCTTGAAAGAAGTGATTCTGTTTTCCCAGTAGTGTCTGATTCTTCCATGTAATTGCTGTTCCTGCCAAAAGGTGACTCATCACTAGAGAGCAGTGCTTCCAGTTTACTGTAAAAAAAAAAAAAAAGAAGAAGAAGAAGAAGCAACCTCTGTGCATCATTTGAAACATTGGCAGAGTTGGGACAAAAAGAGAATGACTTTCGGTTAGTCATCATGACTTGTGTGATACTACCTACAGTGAACTGGCTTATTTGGACGAGCACTAAGCACATCAAACAAGCAAAAGAAGACATATTTTTAATAAAGGTCATTATCTTTTTATTGCTAAATGATAAGCTTCTAAAAGAAAATTCTATTTGGAAATTAGACCCTGAAGTAAATGTATTAGTAATTTGGTTGAAAGGAACTGAGAATAGTCCCTGGAAGCTGAGTTGAATGCACAGAGTAAACTTGATCTGGGTACAAGTGCAAAATTTTGACACATAATCCCATTCATGTGACATAAGCAGTGTCTAACTGTCCAGACTAAAGCTGGTCCTTAGACTTATGAAAATAATACTCGTAAATATTGAGGCATACACTTTTAATATATAAACATCAAGTAAAAAGGTTAGCTTAGCAATTTAGTCAGATTTATTTTCTGAGGCCTCCAATTCACAAGTAATGACATGGACAAACCAGCAGCTATGATATACATCCTCACTATGATTCTGTCACACGTTGTTACTGTTGGACCACCTGGTCAAAAACCACAACCATTATGTAAACAAACACTCAAAGTTTTCTGATGAGAAACGTTTTGATCGTTGTTCATTGATAGAATATTATGGCGCTATCAAATCCGTAAGTGTTTGTCGGATGTATTAGTTTGTTTTCTGGTTTGACTTCTCAACTTGGTCAGTTTTGGTAACATCTTCTAATGATCAAACAACAAGTGCAGTGAGAAGAAATTATGCTATTCCTATTAATATTTTGTTTTGTTTTTTAAATGTTCATAACTTATATTTTATGTGACGGGCCAATATCAAGCAGCACATAATTATGAAGAGGAAGGAAAATGATGCATTTTGAAAGTTTTCGGCAATTCAAAATCTAAAGAGTGACTCCCTACTTTTTGATTTGTGTCCACACAACATAATGCCGCTGCCAACCACCATGTTTCACTGCGGGGAAAGTGCGTTTAGGGTGGCGTTCAGATTTTTGTTTTCTACCTTAAATAATGTTTTGGTCTCACCTGGCCTTTGCACCATTTTTCCCCATATTTGCTGGCATGTAGCAAACTGCACACAAGAGAACATTTTGTTTACAAATGCTCTCCACAGAACATGTGAGGCCTTCGCAGGATGGATATATTTATAATCACACACAGATTGATCCTGTTCACTAACCAGATAATGTCTGAATACAGTTGGTTGCACTGGCGTTAAATTAGAGGCGGCTGAATATAAACGCATGCCAAACCTGTATATTTTTTCTTCGTGATTACACTTTGTGCTGTTCCATCAGCACAAACTAAGTGGTGTTTTTACTTACGACAGAACGTGAAAAATGTCAAGGGGGATACGATAATTCACTCAGCTGTTTATTAGTGCCCACAGTCAGAGTTAAATCATCTCATAAACTCAAATGCTTTCACTGAATATTTGAGTGCTTTTACCGTCAAACTTCTCCAGAATCTGGACGGTTTCTCCCAGCTCCAGGACGAGAGCCTGACATATTGGTGACCGGAAGTTGCAGACCCCTGGGGAGAGAAAAAAAGGGGGGGGGGGGTCAGGGGGTGTTGAACAGGACAGACAAAACCGGTAAGAAAACTTTGTGCAGCCGTTATCAGTAACTCTACTGGTAATAGACTAAATCTTCCTTTTTAGCTTAACTGAGAAATAACTTTGTCTCCACAGAGATTTTATTTTATTTTTTTAATTGCAGGAATGCAGTCGGTGCAGCTTTTTATTAAACCGATTCATCCAAAAATATAAACACACACGGCGCCACACTGAAGCCAGTGCCCGATGAACAAACTGCCACTCTACGAGGTAATTAATTGTTAAGCAACCTGATTTTGAGCAATGTTACGTCAAATTAACTACCTCCCAGAATAGAGCCCACACAAGGTGCTAGATTATCAGGCTTAACGGCGATTATTCACAGGATGGTATTAGCATAAATCCTCCATGACACCTTCGTTTTTGTGGGATCCCGCAGCCTCTGACCATACAAAGAAGCATCCTGTGACTCAAACGCTGATGACATGATTATTCTTCAGAGGGTATATGCTACAGTAAAGGCCTTGACAACTGCACTGCCTCTGGAGTCTGCCTTTATCTGTGCAGCACTGCGGCTCGGGAAACATGAGCTACGCAACAAAACGCCACAGAAGCCTCAGTAAAGACAGACGTGTTTGACAAGGATGCTGCGCCACTGATGATTTAAAAAAAAAAAAAACCCCTACAAATGGAGGCCCTTAAAGGAGAGTTTGGTGTGAATCATTATGGTAACGAACTAGCCAGGGGACTTAGTGAGGGGGAGGAGAGAAAGGAGGGGCTTGTCCTCGGCTCTGTTTGCTTGTTGGAGGGAAACGAGTGTTCAGTTCCTGCGCTCGGGTAACTATGGGAACAGATCGTCCACAAACTGGAGGGCTTTCTTCACTGTAACTGCTGCGGGGATCTGGGCATTTTACAAATCAGCAAGCTTACGAACGCTGACTTTAGACGGGCATGTGTTAAAGAAAGAGAGGTAAAAATGTCCTCAAGAAGACTCTTGTCACCTTTTCCGTTCTGCACCAGCCCTTTTTCCAGCCATGACTGAATAGCTCCTATTTGAGCGCCCTGCTCTTCAGTGACCTTTATTTCATTTGAACTGCAAACCTTCGCGCTCACCATCTGAACACTCTCTGGCACAGGTCACACCAGGAGAAGATGAGACATTTAAGAGAGCTTTCAAACACCATATGGGCTTCGTGTTTTCATCACTTCAATTTGTGTACAAGCACACAGACACACACACACACACACACACAGCTAATTTTGCCTGTGGAGATTTACAAAAACCAAACAAATTTCTTCATTAGACTTCAACATGTTGAACGTAGGATGTTGGACGGACTGATGGGACATGGAGTTAAAAAAAAAAAAAAAATGTTGGCAAAAGCAAACATTTCTACCGAGCAACAGCGTTTCAGTCCAGACTGTATCTGCATTTAGCTGAATTCGACGGTCACATGGGATCCGATGGCTACTGTTGTGTAACCGGCAACTGACTGAAGTGAGCAGAAGGAGGAACCTCCTGCGCTCAACTGCTCCCTCAGTGGCCATCACGAAATGTTGTCATGCAAAGTATTAATATCCATGGAGTTTTCTGTTTTGTTTTGTTTTGTTTTGTTTTATAAGCAGAAGATAATGGATGGACAGAGAGGTGGATGAAAAACTGTGGTGACAGTGGGAATAGTAGTCATGTTGTAGTTTGAAAGTTATGGGTCTTTCCACAGGTTCTCAGATGGATGCAGGTCTGGACTTCGACTAGGCCATTCAAACACATGAATGTGTTTTAATCTAAACCAGTCCGTCGTAACTCTGACTGCAGTCCAGCTTCTCTGTCTCTGATAACCCCACAGCATGATGCTGCCAGCACCATGTTCCACTGACAGTATGGTGTACTTAGCTGAACTCTCGGTAGGTTTGTAGATATATTAATGTTTTCAGGTGATGGATGGAACAGTGCAAACTAAACTCTGCTTTCAACCTGTCTACCACTTTATACTTGACCTGTCTGTGATGTGTCTTGCTCTTTATGAGGTATTTGTTCACTACTTACTCATAGGTAGCCTCTATTAAATAAGTAATTAGCAGTTGCTAGGTTTAGTTTTTATTTATTAATCAGGATAAAGAAAAACTGAATACAAATTAACTCTAAATGTTTCAGGTTTTTTTTGTTGTTGTTTTGTTTTTTTGGGCTTATGAAATATGAAAACATTTGCAAGGCACTGGCTGGCTCTCCATCAACAGGGGTAAGTATGCGAACATCTGCACTGATTTACTGTAACCATCTAAATGTAAATCTGATCAGGAAGCCTCTTAAAGCCGCTTCCCTTAGAAGGTCCCACTGGGTGCAGACGCCGGGGAAGACCCAGAACTTGCTGAAGGGCTGATATATCATGTCTGGTCTAGGAAGCACTTGGGAAGCCTCAGGATGAACTGGATGTTGCTAGGGAGGGAGGATGTCTAGGTTCCCCGTTTATGGTTTAGGCTGTTGCTGTCTGCCTGTACAGCCCTCGGTGGCCTCGCACCAGCAGCAGCAAAAGGTTTACTGTAGAGGCCAGTCACTATATGCTGGAACTGCTTCAGTCTAGGTTGGGGGGGGGGGAGCGGTCTTATTTTGTTGCTGGTCCAACAGCCTGGAATAGGCTGCAGGCCACCCCTGATTTGTTTGGCTTAAAGCCAACATTAAGACCCATTTATTTAAAATGTTTTTGTTGTTTAACTTTTAGTATATTTGTATTTCCTTCCCTTCTTTTAACATGGTTGCATTTTTTTTTACTTTTATTTAGCACTATTTCTGTTTCATAGTGTTTTGTAGTTTTTATTTTTATTTTTGCAAAGCACTTTGGTCGATGTGAGGCGTCATTAGGTGATATATAAATACATTTTGATTTGTTAAAAACATCTAACTATGAGTATGACTTTATTCCTGCTCCCATGTAGGAGAAAGCAAAAGTGCAAGGCACCAATTTTTTTTTTTTTTTTTTTTTTTTTTTTTTATGCAAGTTCCAGTTGGAAGTAGCACCAAATTTGCTGTCTTTATTGTCACTGAAGCTGGAGCTTAGAATAAGATTTGCAGCACTGCTTATCCATCTGGTGCATATTGGAGGGGGAAAATGTGATGGAAAAAAAAACTGTCTTAGAGCAACAAAACAGTAAAATAAAGTGCTTTGCACGCAGAAACCTTTCTTTTTTGACTGTGTGCAAACAGGGCTGATGTGCCAGTGTGATTCACATAAGTCACCTTAAATATCTCCACTACCAGACCTCTGTAGAGGCAGAGAAGGAGGAAGAAGCTACTGCTTCAGTCAGATTATTTCTGCATCTAAGCAATGTTTAATGACAGGAGAAGATGGCAAAATTCTGATCCCAGATTTCACTCTTGGAAAGAAATCTTTTTTTATTTATTTTTTTTTTAAGAAAATGATCTGCCAAATACAGGGTGCTGAATATTGGCCCTAAATTTTGGAAAATAGCAGTGGCCGTGAAAAAAATTGGGTTGACAGAAGATATCTGTCAATCCAAGTTTTCCTTCTCTGTTAAACATAAAAGCTGGAGAGCATCTAATAATTGTAAAGTGATGTTTTCGAGAGCAAAACAAGAACCTAAAAGAGGAAGAATTATTTCATTTTGAAACAATTTTTCTCTTAAATATTAAATGAAAGTCATCACAGCATATACGCATTTTTAGCCCAGCTTTTCAAGTTTAAAATTAGCATTTAGAATATAAAAAAATCTCCTGAAATCATCTTGGTAGAAATTACAACCAAACATCCTAAAGAACACAAATCCTTTGGCACCCCTGATAAAGATGTGTAAAAAAGTTTTAAACTAATTTATCTTTGTTTGCAGAGGTATAATCTCAAATCAAAGTCTAGACAAAAATCCAATCTTTAATTTGAGGAAAATAATTTAATGCTTGCTTAAATTATTTTAAGCAAGCATTAAAATGATGCTTGCTTAAAATGCGCAAGCATCATTTTAAGCTGAGCAACTAAATTACTAGTTGCTCAGCTGTTTGCATTTCTAGGAACTTTTCTTAAATCTATGTAACTAACTCCTGTTTTGCTTTTTAAGTTGATTAACGTTTTGCATATTAGACAATTAAAAATCCACAACTGTCCGGTGTCCCAGGACATAAGCATGACAGAGACACTCGTTTTTGTTTACTAAGAAAATTCATTTTATATTTTAATATTATTTGAAGATAAACATTATTCCTTTTTAAATCTCATGTCCTTATTCAACCTTTGAAAGCTGATCAGTGCAAATCTTGTCCCGTCAATCTTTTCAGTGCTGAACAGAAATTTACTGACATGTATAACTGATTACTAATATTTGTTCTCAGTAAATTTATTTGTAAAAAAAAAAAAAAACCTTTCCAAAAATGTTTAAAAGAAAAGGGGGCGCGGGGGTTGCACTCCAATCACCTCGTTTTCTATAATGTCAGGTCTGAAATTTAAGTAGGACCTGCAGCTATCTTTGAATAAACCAAAGTGAATAATAATTTTAAAAAAAACTGCTGTCAGAGTACTGAGTACTATTTTCTTGAAATTTCACAATTAAAAGTTGTCAGAAATGTATCCATTAACCTTGATTCAATCTTGGTCAATTTATTAAGTCCAGCACAACATTATAAACTATCAAATCTGTATATGCTTGTCACATTGCTGTCCCCTCAGAGCTGCATGTCTTTAATACATTTTTTTTGTGACATTTGCAACATGGTTAAAAATATGAGGTTTGACCTAAAGGACTCTGCCAATTAATACTGACAAGTTGTGGAAGAAAATGCAAGATTTTTTCTTTTCTTTTCAAACTCTCAGAAGAAAAAATATTCAGCAGCACCTACAGTTTGTATTTCAGTGTCGTAGTTTGTGCAAGAATGGCATTATTGTGATTCGCTAATTTCATAAAATGCCGCATCGACTGCATTGCTTGTGATGACGCTGCTCAAGTGATATCTGTGTGGCAGAAGCCAGAGTCATCTGATTCATTTCAGTCTCTCATGTGGGAGGCTGCTGAATTAAAGACGACTATTTATCTAATGCAAGCTGGAAGAAATGTTGATGCTTACAGGTGGTTCAGAATCAAAAACTGAAGCCACCCCAGTTGAGGCAAAGAATTTGAATTTTAAAATGAATAACATAAGGATGAAGAATAACAGTATGAACGCTTGACTAATGGGGTGTCAATTTTAGCTGCCAAAGCAGCCCTGTGGTGTCAAGGCCTGGGCTCCACTGGAGTCTCTGGCATCTGTGCGCTGTGGCGTCTGGCACCAAGATATTTGGAGAAGATCCTTTAAGTCCTGTAAATTGTGAGGTAACAGTAGATAGATTAGATCTTCTATCCAGGAATCCCGTAGAGGCGCAATTGGATTGAGATCTGGGGAATTTGGAGCTCAAGTCAAAACCTGAAATCCACTTCATGCTCCTCAAATCGTTTCTTAACCAAGTTTGCTTTGCATCGTTGTTCTTTTGAAAGAGGCCACAGCTATTAGGGTGTTCCACCTCCACTCTGACTGGTGAGCAGCTATGAAACCTCAATGCTCAAGAAAGTCAGAGGGTCAAAATTTCTCCACTACGATACAAAAGAGTCGTTGCCTGTTATCTCTAGTGCTTGTTGTGGTTGATTCCATCAAGAGTGTTGCACAGTTATGTTTTTATTTATTTATTTATTTTAACGTTCCAGGTTGTCACGGATACTTTATGTAATTCATCGGGTTATTGTTGTCTTAATGTAGCAAATAAGCAAAAGCAGGAAAAAAAAAAAACCTTAAGGTGTGCCTGGAATATCTCACCCACTAACCGGTGTCACGATGAAAAGATGAAGTGTGCTGCTCACTTCACCTGTCAGTGGTCAAAATGTTATGTCTCATCAGTGCGAAACAGATAGATAAAAACACAAACCATGAGATGAAGTGAAGATTATGATAGTCTATCCCAGGGGTCAGCAACCTTTTACATTCAAAGAGCCACTTTTATCCCCACTGCTACAAAAAATAAAACTTGCCGAGAGTTGCAAAAAAAAAAAAATTTCCTAAATATGTACAGAATCAAATGTTTTACTATGAAAATTGTACTAAAATCCATCTCTACTTTTAGATTTTAGAACAAAATAAATTGTCTAAAACAAGAGGAAAAGAGAACAACTTTGTACAATGAAGTGAACCATTTCTAGAAATGTGGAAACTGAAGAAAGACAGGTAGCATAGTTTGAAGCTAGTTGGTTTTAAAAGCCTGTTGTGGATATAGTATGCAGATTTTGCATAAGAACTTACGGAAATTAAAAAATAAAATAAAAATAAAAACCCTCCTAAATCAAAAACGTCCAAAATCAAAAGCATGTCCTTTTTGGATTTGGAAGAACCACAGAAGAAGAGCCAAACACCCACATGTGGGTCTGGAGCAGCAGGTTGCAGACCCCCGGTCAAATGTTTCGCCATGAACTGAGAAGAATCAAAAGCGTAGTGCAGATTCTTTTACTCAGAAGCGGGACTATACTGGAAAAAGTAGGAGAAAAAATGATTTTTTTTTTTTTTTTTTAGCAAGGCCGCTGACTGAACCACGGCTCTGTTGGTTATCCGTGCTGGGCGTTTTGTGTGAAAGGCAACAAACAGGCAATGACAAAATCAGCAAAATAAGCTGTGGAGGTGTGCAGAATGGTGCCAGTGATATCAGAGGTGAGGTGGGAGAGGGAACTGATAGCAGGCCGGTGACGGTGCCGGCGCATGCTGCCCATCCACCTGTGTGGGCTGTCTTCTGCAGTGGTACTGGGAAAATATTGATCCTCGTGTGTCACGCATGTTACCCGAGCAGAGGAGGGGAATTCGGTGGTGATTCGTGCTGCCTTTAGCAAAGTACAGTGTGTACTTCTCTGCGTGGCGGGCTTCGCTTCACTTCCCCGCATTTCGGCACCGCGGACAGCGTCATCTCCGTCCACGGTTTCGGCACCGCGGAGAGCGCCAGGTCACTCCGCGCAGACTGATGCGGAGGCTGCGCCGAACTGTTGCTTCCCTCCCCACACGTTGACACAAACACGCACTGCTGCCGTCTTTTGCTTCAATAAAGCCCACGTAAATATATATCTTCGTTCGGGAAGATGAGCCGCAGTGCCTCAGCGACAGATGGACGAACAAAATAAAATGACACGGAGGATCGGGAGCGGCGACTCTATGTGGTGTTTGGAGGCTCTTTATAAAGCGCTCATGACGAATGCGATGCCTCCAAAAGAAAATAAAAAAAAATAAAAAAATAAAAAAGTGCTCATACGTGGGCGTGTGCATGTAAGGGGGAGTATCATGTGTGAGCCAGCGTGAGTAGCCCTAACAAGCTGTGGAGCATCTGGACATGACTCATTCTCCTAATGAAAACCCTCTATAGTGTAATCACACGCTCTGCACAGCTTTGCTGCGATAGCGAGGCCGAGCAGACGATTTATAAAGACACGGAGGCATCGTCAGTTATAAATAGGTGGATTTAAGATCTTCCTTTTAAACGTGAGGCCCAGCAGCTCATCTATAGGAATACATGTTCTCCTATAGATCCATTTCCTGGTGCGTGTTGATTGTAAAACAGTGTCGCAGCAGCCGCAGTAGCAGAAAAGCAGCTTTTTTTTTTTTTTTTTTTTTTTTTTTTTTCAGTCCACAGGTAGACTCCAGCATCACTCCTGCCTACACCTGTTGGAGGGACGCAGTCACGATGCCCCCTTGTGGTTTCAACACGAATCGCGTCTCTCGTCCTCCACATCGCTACTGTACTCGTCTGAGAGAAGAAGGTGGTGGTGGTGGTGGGGGAGGTTTGAAATGCCAAGCTCACGCCTTTTTCTTTCTTTCTTTCTTTCTTTTCTTTTTTTTTTTTTTTTTTTTTTGCAAAATCACAAAATCTAATAAACAGGAGTGGAGCCCCACCTGAAGCTGCCTTCAGCCTGCGACGGCATCTTTAAGGTGGTGGGGTCTGTAAGCTGTATCATCCCACGCAATTTCCCTTCCAATGCAGTCACTGCCGCGTATATCAGCCATTATAAGTGGCTGTGGGTTTATTATTATTATTATTATTATTATTATTATTATTACTACTGGGTGTAATTGGCTTGCTAATATGGAAAATAACGCGCTCCATGGTCAGTTCGAGATAAGAATGGGCAAATTATGCGCTTCTTTCTGCCACAACTGGCGGAGCGACGTATATGGGAAGCTTTAAAGAAAACCAGAGCTATCTAATGAGCTATAACGACGAAGAAAAAGTGCCATTAACTCACCAACTCCGATTTTCTCCTCTTCTGTTGGTATCCACATATTTGATTATTTCTCCTCTGGTAGAACAAGCCACATTATGTCGTTATCGTGAGATGATGCTGCTAGGAAAAAAACAAAAAAAAAAAAAACAGAAGAAGCAGCTACAAATGAAATAGTCTCGGCTGATCCTGTGGTTGTCCAGACTACATGTTTCGAGCGGAATATGCGCTGGGGAAAAGGCTGAAAGGCTCAGTGTCTCTGCTCTATTATGTCCCGGCGTGTGTCTCCAGTCTGATGCAGTCTCCCTGTCCACCTCATGCAACGCGCACAGACACACACAGAGACACGCAGGCACGCACACGCACGTACGCACACGGTGATCGTTTTTCTGTTTGCCACAAAAAAAAAAAAAGAAAAAAAAAAGGTGTTACTGCAGCCGCTGTATTAAGGGGTTTCGGCTCTCCTCGCAGCCTCTTCGAGTCGCTTCTCCGCGCTTCCTCCTCGGCTGCTGCTCGGCTGGGGGCTTCCGCGCAGCGACAATTGGCCTAATCGCTCGGTAATTATAACATATTGGATGTAGCTGAAGAGCTGCGGCAGGAAATTACTGAGAAAACAGCAAAAATACCATAAGCTGCGCCATCTTCATGGTCGTCACATGACTTGTTTTGTCAACACTGATGTGTCAAAGCTTTTGCAAATGTATGCGCCTCCTCTTTTCCTCCCCGTGCGCCCCTTCTATCCATCCATCACAAACCGCTTTTTCTTCCAGCGGGGAGGGATACTGGCTGGCATTCTGCCTTTTGTGTGACTGACTGGACTTGTTACTTTGGCAGCTGCTTGGCCATAAAGTAGCTCCCGGTGTTACACATCAGGCCAGACCACCATGTGGGGAAACACCTCCTGGTTGAGTCATTTCCAAGAAGCAGAGCCACTATATAGCAGCGATGCTTTGTCATAGTGCAGTCATCCCCCACCACACTGATGGGGTGCAACTCATTTCTAAGGACAAGTTTGGTTTAATGATTTGTGAGGATGAATTTTACACGAAACTATTCACAACATCATCATCATTTATCCTTGAGGTGCCACTTACAATAAATAATCCATACTAGCGATTAGCATTTATTATTAGATATCTTTTCAATGTCTTCGTTTGTGCAACATGTACACTTCACTTTTAAAATGTCAGGTTATGGTGTTGCAAAAAAAAAAGATGGACTACATCTCATTTAGAACCAAAAATGTAACAAAAGGCATAAAATGTGCTTAATTCAACTTAAAAAATACAATGTTAGATAAAACTAATAATGTTGTTGCTTCTTCCATAAATAATAATAATCATCATAAAAAATCATTAGTAGATTTTTCAGACCAAATTAATAGTTTTCAGTAGACGCTACACTAGCTCAGACAGCTCACACGGTACAAAGGTATTAGTCAGGAGAAGGACAGGTCTGCAAAAAATTCTGACCTCAGACCGACAGGAATACCATCAGGACAAATCCGAACACAGACTGCAAGCTGGACCTTCTCATCCAACATCGGTGTCTGATATCACATGTGGTATTCAGGGAAGAAAAAAATTAAGAGTAAGAGTCAAATCTGCTAAGGAGAGGCCAATGCCATTTTAGTACCATTGTATTGAGAGTGTTGAGAGAGATAGCTGTGAGGGATAGCTTGCAGTTTGCCACAAGCCAAGTTTATGACACAGCAAATAAGTGAAAGAAAGATGAAACCACAATTGAAAGTTTTATGACTAAACACTAACACTAAATAAAACTTTCCCCTGGTGAAACATGGTGGTAGTGGTATCATGCTGAGGGAATCTCTTTCTGCAGCAAAGACAGGGAAGCTGCTCAGTTGAATGGAGATTTAAAAAGGGGGAAAAAAGGCAATCTTGGAAGAAAACCTGTTATAAGGTTGCAAAAGACTTGATATTAGGGCATCTTCCAGCTGGACTGAACTGAAACTTAAAGAGCTACAATGGCGCGGGTTTAGGTCAAAGCACATATATTTGTTAAAATGGCACATTCAAAGTCAAGACACAAATCCAAATGAGGATCAGTGGCAAGCCTTGATGTTCTTCATACAGCCCGTCCACTCTGGCTGAGCTTGTGAAAGTTTACAAAGAAGAATGCGCAAAATTTATCCTCTAGATGTGTCGAGCTGATATAAACATATCCACAAAGATTTCAGCTGTGATTTTAGCAAAACATGGCTGTGTTAATGACTATGCAATGAGACAGTGTGTATTTGCAATACAGAAATATGCATTTTGAATAAATAAATAAATAATAATAATACAAAAGGCCAAGAGTTGGCCCTTTTCCAGAGTGGGGAATTATCTATAAGTTACTTCACCTTGCTCTTCTGATAAAAGTTGCACTGGAACAGTTTGCAATTTGTGTTTTTTGTGGGCAGCTCCATGGGATGAGAAGTTCAAACGAAACCTGATTAATCCGCGGAGTCGTGACTTGTAAAAGTTGCAAACCCCTGCACGCTCGTCCTATAGATAAGGCTCAGGGAAAACAGGGTGATCTGGCGAGCGCCGAGTAGTGCAGTGAGTCTGATGCAGTGTGGGAGGGAGGGCAGCATTCAGCTGGGTAATTTCTCCCCATCAGAGAGACGCTGTGACTGACTCCCATCTGTCTATTACTTCAAGTGGAACATTGTGGGCGGTTTTCCCAATCACACACACAAAGCAGGGGGGGAGAAGGGGGCGTTTCATAAGCTAAATATGCACCCCAGACAATAAGCATTTGTTTAAAATTACATAACAAATTACTAGCTTCCATCACGGGTGCAGAGGATGTACTATAGTGAAACTGCTGCGTGCAGATGGTACAAATGTGGCACAAAGAACATTAATGCATATTTTTACTTGCCGTTCCTACATTTTAGTCCCTTCTCTGCCCACTGAAAGCACGGTCTGCTCGACAGTTTCAGCACTCCCAAATCAAGTGGACAGCAAACAGAAAAGGTGCCAAAAAGCATCTCTTCCCACCTCACCCATTTAGACGGCATGCAATTCTGTAAATATTGGTGAATATTATATTTGTGTCAGTTTTTTTCCTCAATCACAATGCCACGTCTCCGGCTAAGTTTAGAATCTCGGTCGGTAACGTATGCATCAGGTTTATTGATTAAAGGAATTGAAAACCATCGCAGCTGAGTAAATACACGGTTTGCACAAAGAGCAAATATATATATATATATATATATATATATATATATATATTTGTCTCAGTTGAAAGCCTCAGATCATAAAACTTTGACTATAATCAAAATAAATGGAAAAAGGTTTTAAATTTATCAAGGGTAAAAAGTTATCCAAACCAAATCAGGTCCAGGGTGAAAATGTGATCCTCTCCTGGTAAATCATACATCAACTTTTTGAGAGTTGCCCTAATCCCACTCAGGCCTGATCACTGACATACAAGTTCAGTATAGAAATTACTTCCATAGAACCTGCATAACAAGTATGCAAAAATATCTGAAAATACAACAAATCAGGAAAGGGTTATAAAGCAACTTCTAAGGCTGTTGGGCAGAAGAGAATCACAGTGAGAACCATTACCCAAAATATCAAACAGTATCCAGGATGTTGCTAAAGAGCCCAGAATATCATCTCAGTTCATCATGTGCACTTTGATATGCAGCAGGACAACACACAGCACCAAGTTCTTCTCAGAATGGCTAAAAATAGGTTTTGAGCCATATGTTGCGTATCTAAACTCAGTTTCTTAAACTCTGACACGTCTTGTTTAATAGCCCAAATTTGGCTAAACTAAAATTAAAACTCCCTGTTCATTAAGACTACTGCAAGTCTTAATGAACTTGCAAGCTTAGACTATTGAAGACAAGTTAAAACATACCAGATAAGTCACATAAGTACACAAAAGAGAAAATTCTGCAACTTTATTTATAGTAAAAATACTTTCGATACATACAATCTGTACAGGAAATCTCAAGAACCTCAAAAAGTCTCCTAATGGAAAATAAAATTAAAAACCAAACTAAAAGCAAAAACATGAGGAAAATATGACTGCACAAAAAGTGTGCATGTGCCAGACTTTTTTTTTTACTTTTTATACACAAAATAACAGATTTTTTCTTTTACTGTAAAAGGAAAAGCAACATTCATTTCTTTTGCTAAATTGTGTAGCAGATTTATTTTAAATGCTCCAGAAAATTAGGAGAACCATTTAAGTTCAGACCAGTCTTTTAATAAAATCAGTCACTGTGCTAAATACTGTTTGGAAACAAATAAAGAAAAATAATATAAAAAAGTGTTTGCATGACAAATGATTTTACTACAGTGTTCACACCATCAAGAGTTCATGTGAAATGGCACTGTTGTGTGTGGCGTGGTACAGATTTGCTGAAAATAAAAGCTGAAGGCAGGACCCTGAAGGTTTGAGGAAAACGTCACGACTTTTTGGTGATTAGTTAAGTCGGCCTGACCAAACAAGCAACCAAGAACAGTCCTAGACTTGTGGATTTCAACGCTTTCATCTATAAACTCTTACCTGTGGCCAAACAGATGTTTACAAAGTGTTGAAGTTCATATGAAATGCTGAGGCTCATCAAAAGCCCATAAAAGTGAGAGCTAATGTTTTCTTTCACCACCTCCTCGCCCAGATCTCATCGCTCACCCTGCAGCTCAAGGTTGTTGTTTTTTTTTTCCCTATAGAAAATTATATCATTTACAAGCATTTCTGTTCTTCCACACACTCACTGTGTCCGGTACAGTTTTAAGCTGGCAGTGCTCCAAGTAGATTACCCGCTGGTTTTCTCTTTTTGGGACTGATCCGTTGCAGATCAAACGTCTGTGAGGAGGAAACCGTGACATCTCCTCTGGATCTCTGCTCTTAAGATGCTGATGGCCCACATCCTCACTCGTTCAGGGATAAGATGATGTCATCCTCAAGGTCAGAGTTGTCCGAGCTGTCTGTTTGTTTGATAGACAAACACAGATTCAGAAATTGGGAATAGAGATTTTCTGCTGAGTAGGTTAGTGGGCGAGGGCAGAAAGTGCCAAAACGGCAAAAAACACGCCAGCTTAGCGAGATGACATCTTGGTTTTTGTTTCCCTCTGCAAATTTTGCTTTACTTTGTTGAGTTTTGGAATAAACTCTTACTAAAACAGGAGTCTTCAGGCTGACCAGAGAGGAATGAAACGACGAGCACTTTAGTTTTCCTCAATTAAAACTTTGCATACATTATTATAAACTAGCCAGAAAAGCCTTTTGAAGTTGGATAGTAAGGTCATTTTAATATTTCCGCAACTATGTTACCCTAAAGTGAGTCCTTTGAGATGAAACCTTAGTGATGCGGGACTATGGCTCTTAAAGTAAATGGCTAATATGTGTAATTCTCCAAAAATCAAGCTTTTTTCCCCTCATTAGCATGAAATACATGGGGGAAATCCTCCAAGCTTATTAATGCTTCTTTCTTGTTGAACCGTTTGCCGCATATGTTGGTTGTAATAGATCTTAATAGCGATGGTTTACAAACTAAGGCTAATTTGTCTAGCAAGATTGGTCATTTTTTCTTACTTCTTGTTAAACCATATAATTCATGGAGGGCCCTCAAGAACCAGAAGGAAGGCTTTTCCTGAAAACGCCTAAATTAATCCAAATTAACTGTCAACCATTACAGCAGCAGCACAGGGATTATAAAGCAGATGCTACTTTTTCAGATTAAGGGAAGAGTAACAGAGTTTCTGCGTTTCGGCGTTTCTGCATCTTCTTTGTTCCGTCAAAATCAAAATCCAATTTAAACA